CGTGCTCCGACATGCCTCCGCGCGTCGCCCGACCGGCCAGCGAGTGCCCGAGACGCGCCCCGGCCGCCGCAGTCCTCAGCCACTGCCGCCGCCTTCGTTCGCGTTTCCTCAGGGCCCGACGACACCAGCAAACTCGCCCGGCCAGAGCGCCGCGGCTCCGCGGGGAACCCTGGGATGTCCGCGGCCGCCCGCGGAGGCCCCACCCTCTCGTGGGCGGCCGGGTTCCGTGGCGCGGGGGAGGAGGGCGGAGCCACCGTCTATTTTGCATACAGCATCCCATAAGCCTAGGCGGCGGCAAGGCCTCTCTTATTAGGTCAAAGTAGCCAACATCTCAGGCTCTTTAAAAGTAAACTGGATGACCGGAGATGTTTTTTTGATGGGACGCTATGAGAATTATACAAAATATAAACCAATGATAAATTGACCTAACTCTGAAGTGATAACAATGTTAGCCCTTAAATACTCAAGGCTGCAAAGGTGGACTTGTGCTCGCTTCGGCAGCACATATACTAAAATTGGAACGATACAGAGAAGATTAGCATGGCCCCTGCGCAAGGATGACACGCAAATTCGTGAAGCGTTCCATATTTTTCAACAGGAAACATATGTCAGCCCCTCCCCACTTTTTAAAGTCAGGCGTAGCGCAGCCTTCTGCCGTCTGTCCCTTGCTATGGCTCCTTTGACAGAAGTGTTTACTGAGCACTTGATGTTTTGACCAGCGCAGCCACAATATCCGCTCTTCCTCCCTGCTCCACTCGCCGGCTGTGCCCTTCCAGCGCTCTTCTTAGTTTTTCCTTCTGGGAACAGAACCTCTGAGGCGGACCGGCTGGCTTCCTTCTCTCCCGGGACTCTCCAACTCCTGCCAGCCAGGACCAGGCGTGCATCTGCGGCGTGCCACCTGTGCGTCATGCCACAGGGGACCACCGGGTGAACAGGGAGCAGACACCTGCCAGTCCCCGTCCCCAGAGTCCTGGCACACTCCAGTGTCCCACTCAAAAGGGACAAGGGACACTGGAGTGTGCCTCCCTTACACATCCTTGAAACGCACTGCAGCCAACACTTATTGAGTGCCTACTGTATGCAGAGACTTGTGGCCTGCTGTCCGGCCCTCACAGCGAGTACCCTGGGCCCTGCAGGGTGACAGGAGGGTAGCCCAGCTGATGATCAACTCAGAGGCTGAGAAAAATACTCCCAGACCCACCTCCTGCTTCACATCTTTCTCTTCCTGTTGCATAGAATGTCCTGCATACAGCAGGTGCTCAATAAATGTATGATCTTGACATTGTTACCAACATATCTACCATTACTCATTAATGTTTGTTTAGTTGATTGGTTGGGTTTTTGTTTGGTTTTGGAGATAGGGTCTTGCTATGTAGCCCAGGCTGGCCTCAAACTCCCAGCCTCCCATACTGCTGGGATTACTAGCATGTCTATCATGCCTGGTTGAGATTGCCTTATTATTTACTGTTATTTGCTACTGCTATTACCGGTTTGTGGCTGTAGTGATTGGTCCTCACCCGGTTCCTCCAAGCCAGGCATCACATGGGGCGGGGTTGAGACCTTATTCAGAGTTTCCGAAACGCTCCTTCCAGCCCTGTGTCCTTCCATGGCCCCAAACCATCCCACAGTGAGACATGAGAAGACCTGTGACATCCAGGGCGAGGAGTCCAACAAGAGATCCAGAGGCTCAGCCCTCTCTTCCCAGAGAAAACCAAGAAGTCCCTGGGACCTGCCAGGTTCCTGCTTCCCAGCCTGAAATTCCTAAGATTCTGCCATCTGTTGACACAGTCAGCCCTTATCTCTGGTCAGGCGCCTGCCTGGCACTCTGCAAATATTTATGTTTTGTTCTGCTGGGGATGGAGCCCAGGGTTTCATGCATGGTAAGCAAGCGCTCTGCCTCCGAGCCACACACTCACCCCTTTAAAAAAATTTTAATTTTGCCAGGCGTGGTGCCACATGTCTGTGATCCTAGCACCTGGGAATTCGAGGCCAGCCTGGGCTACATAGTGAGTCCAAGGCCAGCCTGAACTGCACTGTGAGAGCCTGTGTCAAAAAAAAATTTTTTTAAATTTTGAGCCAAGCATGGTGGTGTACATCTGTAATCCCAGCTCCTGGGAGGCCGAGGCAGGAGGTGCGCTGTGAGTTCTAGACCAGTCTGGGCATGAGTTGAAGTGAGTTGAAGTCCAGCCAGGACTATATAGCAAAACCTTGTCTCAAAAAAACATTTTTTTTTTTAATTTATTTTGTTTGTTGTTGAGACAAGGTCTTGCTATATAGCCCAGGCTAGCCTCAAACTCATGGTGATCCTCTTGCCTCAGCCTCCCAAGTGCTGTGATGACACATGTGTGCCTGGCTTTTCAGCCCTGTTGAGCAGAGCAACTGGTCCACTCTGTCCTTCTAGGGGAACCAACAAACTGGAATACATAGAAGCTAGAAAAATTCTGCACAGGTGGTACACACCTACTATCCCAGCACTCTGGGAGGCTGAGTCAGGAGGATCAAACATTTGAACCCAGCCTGGGCAACAGAACAAGGCAAGGCCCTCTCTTTACACAAACACCAAAATGCATTATGAGTTTTTAATTTGAACTTAAAATTGATTAAAATGAAAGAAAGCCAGTGGAGGTGGTGCATACCTGTGGTCCAAGACATGTAGGGAGGCAGAAGCAGGAGATCTCTGCAGCCTGCAGAGTCCAGACCAGCCTTGGGTACACCCTGGAACCTCCAGCTCTCCCTGCACCTCTGTCGAGGGCTCTGCAGTGCTGGCAACTGGCCCCACAGGGGCCCTGCAGGGGTACCCAAGGTCCCAGGGCCTACTCCTCACAGACCTCAAAAAGGAGACCCGGAAGAACAAGGATTCACCTAAAACCACCCCACTGGGTCTCAAACTTAGAGAGATAGAATGGAGAGTGACAAGTGCCAAAAAAAAAAAAAAAAAAAAAAGAGGAAAGAGTTCAAGGAGCAGGGCCTCAGGGAGGAATTATCTTCCAGGACAGGGTGGGGAAGTCATCCCTGAGCTTTCAAGGAACCCAGTCAGCCACTTAACAGATGTGTCCAACTCTTACTCAAGCCTCAAAACCCCACCTTCCATCACCCCTCTGACAGGTTTCTTTGAACAGTTTTCAAACACAGCCCCCACTAAGGGACTATCCCAGCAACATGGCCGTGTTTCTTCTTGCATACAGGCAAGGGAATGAACAAATGAGTGACTGAATGAGAGTTCATTTGCTCCTTTACTCATTTAGTAGTTTATTTTTAATTTGTATATTTATTTATTTTGAGTGTTCGGAAACAGGGTCTCACTAAGGAGTCTAGGCTGTCCTTCAATACAGTACAAAGCCCAGGCTGGCCTGGAACTCATGGCAAACCACCTGCCTCAGCCTCCTGAGTGTTGGGATTACAGGCGTGTGCCACCATGTCCGGGCTCATTTAGTTTTTATTTTTGTTTTTTTATCTTTTGGACAAAAAAGGTTTTGCTATGTAGTTCAGGCTGGCCTTGAGCTCACTTTGTAGCCCAGGTTGGACTCGAACTAGCAATGATCCTCCTGCCTCAGCCTCCCGAGTGCTGGGATTACAGGCGTGCGCCACCGCGCCCCGCTGGGAGTTGCCTTTGAGTGACAGAGAAGGGTTCTCATTTGCACCCCTAAAGGTACCAACCAACAAATCCCACTAAGGTGCAAAAAGATAAACTGAGACCTAGAAAATGTGAGAGGGAGACTTTGGAGCTCATAGCAGAACAAACAGGGCAGGATACCTTGTCTGGCCCGCCCAGAGCCGCTTCCCCGCCTGCCTCAGTTTCCCGCGATGGCGGGGGGGGGGGCCGCCGGCGGGCGGGGGTCGGTGGTAGCCCGAGACTCAGGAAGTTTGCGGCCGCAGGAATTCGGCCCTTCGCGGCCTTATAAGGGCATTTGCGCTCCGAGCCAATCAGCGGCGGGGGGCGGTGTCCGCCCCGCCCCGCCCCACGCCCGCCTGGGTCCCAGCCAGGGTCCCCGTCCCATCGGTCCGCGTCCCGTCGCCCGCGCTTCCCAGCCATGAGCTCCACGCAGTTCAACAAGGGACCCTCGTACGGGCTCTCGGCCGAGGTCAAGAACCGGGTGAGTCCGGGCTCAGACCCGCGCAGCAGCCCTAGGGGACGTCGTCCACCGTGGGGGACAAGGAGACCCCTGTCTCCCTGACATCTGGGGAGTTGGGGGCTGCCCTGAGGCTCCGGGAGATCTGCGGGTGCCTGGTTCTGAGGTCTGAGGGGACGGGGGAGTGACCACCCGTGTCCCCAGCACTTGGGGGGGGGGCGTCTGACCTCCTCCATCCTAGCCCCTGCCCAGGGCCACCACCCCGGGGACTCCTGATGGATCGAGGTCCAAGAAAGCCCTGGGGGTCTAGGGCGACCCCAGCTGTTCCTTCCTATCACTTCTGCTTTTGGGGTGCTTGTCTGTGGGAGGGGAAGGGGCGGGGCTGGTGGCTTTTGGAGAGGGTGTGGGGGGCCCCCAGCGGAATTTCCTGCTGCTCACACCTGGGGTGGGGGACACGGGCTCAGATCCTCTCCCTGCTTCTCCCCACTTCTTGAGTTTAGGGGCAGCGAGGGGTCCCCTCAGTGTGCGCGGAGTTCGTCACCTGGAGACTGAGCTAGGGGGAGATGCGTTTTTCAGAAAGCGCTTCTTGGTGGGGCTAGTAGCGCAGGCCTGTCTTCCCAGCACTCTGGGAGGCCGAGGCAGGAGGATCGAAAGATTAGGTCCGGCCTTAGCTGTGTATGAACTTTGCCCAGAATAGAAAAGGGCTGGATGTGTAGCTCAGTGTGAAGACCCTGGGTTCGATTCCCAGTACTAAAAACAAGTAAAGAAAAGACAGAAAGCACTTTTGGCCCCGGAGCTGAGGGGCGCACAGCGCAGCCTCTCTCTTTGGGAACAGAGAGTTGATGCTGATCCCGGAGCCGGGCGCGACACGCGGGTCCGAGGCAGGGGTGGCTGTCATCCCTGCGTGGCGGGGCACAGGCACCCGGAGGCACCTGGGAATGTGATGTCACAGCAGGCCTGTCTGGGCACGCAGAAGACACTGGTCTGCTCGGCCCTGGCCCTCCACCACTGCCTCGGGCCTCCTGGAGCCACCTCGGCAAGGGGAGGGCGGGAACGGGGTCTCTGGGTGGCCTGAAAGCCCCGGGCGCCGTCTCTGAGCGCGGGGAGCATTTCCCGGACACACAGGCAGGTGGAGAGCCTGGGGCCCAGAGAGGTTGCCGGGCTGCTCAGAGCAACACAGCTTCCCGGGGCCGAGCCAAGACCGGGACGCGGACTGCCCCTGACCCAGCTAGGTGGCAGAGAGTGGGGAGGGACGGCCCAGGGGACGGAGAGGGGTCCCCTGCCCTGCCCAGCCCTGAGAGCCGCAGCGGCCCTCAGCCCGGCCGGAGGGAGGGCGTGGCCGTGGTGGGCGTGGCCCCGACCACCGGCTGGGGTCACCCGCGGGTCGCACTCTGTTTGAAAGAGGGCTTCCCTGGCTTCCCGCACACAGCCCGAGGGCGTTACAGCTGCTTCCCCGGGGCCCGAGGCCTCTGTGCATGCGAGGCCTCCATGCATGCTACCTATGCCTCAGCTTCCCCGTGGCAGGCTGGCCATGCCCAGGGAGACTAGGCAGTTGCGTAGTGCGCTCCCGGCCGGGGGTCCAGGGCGCTGGGAACAGCTGGTCTCAATTTAGCCTCGGAGGCCAGGGCCACATTCCTGGCAGTTTGAGGGCAGCTGGAATGCGCCGAGGGGCGGAGGAGGTGACCGCTGCGGGTGCGGGCGGGGCCTGGACCTGGGTCTCCAGAGCCGCCACCCCAGGGACCCGGCCCAGGCCTGTAGCTTGGGCTGTGGGAACCCAGCCCGCCCCCACACACAATGGCTGGGCCGGTCAGGTTCTCCACTTTTGTCTTCCGTCCTGGTGCAGGCACTAATCCTGCGCCCCAGGTTTAGAGCAAGAAGCAGGAAGTGGGACACCTGTAAAGAGAACCTGAAGCCTGTGCAGCTCTGCATGATGGTTCCTGGCTGTCATCCCAGCACTCTGGGAGGCTGAGGCAGGAGGGTCGCAAGTTGGAGCCCAGGCTGGGCAAGTTGGCAACTTAGCGAGACCCTATGTGGAAATAAAATATGAAAAGGATGTGCTCGCTTCTGCAGCACATATAAAAAAACAAAAAAGGGCTCAATTCAAAGGCCTTGGGTTCAACCCCCAGTACCACATACGCGCGCACGTGAGCGCGCGCACACACACACACACACACACACACACACACACACAGTTCCCCTGGGGAGTGGCGAGACTCAGACTCAGAGGAGAGGCAGCTATCCCCAGTCATAGAGCTGGGTGTGGAGGAATCAGACCTGGGAAAGGTGCCTCTTGGGCCCTTCTGGTCCTTGCGGAGCAGGGAGAGGAGGAAGGGACGCATCTCTTTGTTAAGAAAGGAAGGAGGGCAGGGGTCTGCGGCCGGAACTGGCTTCTATTTGTTTGTTTATTTAGTGGTACGATCTCCAGCAACTGGGTATCAAAACCAGGGCTTTCTCAGTGAGTACATCCCCAGGTCTGTTTTAGTGCTAAGTCACTAAATTATTCAGGCTGGGCTTCAACTTGGGACCCTCCTGCCTCAGCCTCCCTAGTACAGGGATTACAGGTATGTGCCATGGTGTCCAGGTAGGTACTATAAGTGAGGAGGTACACAACATACTGGAAGGTGCAGATAAATGCCAGAAGGAGCATAAATGGATGTTGGAGGCACAGAGGCTTGATAGAGCCCCCACGGGACTCCGTTGTCTTGGGACACACAGAGAGACAGAAAATGGGGGCCTAGACATTACCTGTACCTGGGTTTATAACAACAGGACTGGCAGCAGCCAGGAGTGGGAGCCTCCTGAGTGTGCTTGGCAGGGGTTGGCGGGGAAGGGTGAGGTTCCACACAGCTGTTGTCTTAGTTATTGTACTGAGACAAAATATCCAACACCCAAAGTTAAAGGAGGGAAAAAAAAGTTAATGGAGGAAGGGTTTATTTGGCTAGTTCCTAGAGAGTTCAGTCCATAGTCACCTGGCTCTGAGGCAAGGTGGCACAAAGAGAAACAGTTCATGGTGAAGCAGGGCAGGCAGAAGGCAGCAAGCAGCAAGAAAGCCATGTCACAAAGCAGCAAGCAATAAGTGACAAGCAACAGCCCTCTTATCAGTCCCTTATATCTTATCCAGGGTACCCTTAGGGTGGGTAGCACTCACACCTAGGGTGGGGGACCCTTAATCCTACCCAGAACTATCCCAGACCAATCAGTGGACTGATTTAGTAATCAACCACCCTTGATCCCAGCATCACACACTCTAGACCCAGCCACCTCTGAAAAAGCTCCACCTACAACCCCATGAGGCTTTGGGGGAATGTCTAGACATAAGCCATAGCACCTGTCATCCCAGCACTCAGGAGGCTGAGGCAGGAGGATCACCATGAGTCTGAGGTCAGCCTGGACAACATGGCAAGACCCTTGTCAATAAAACAAAAAGTAAAATAAAAAAAAAAAGGAGCAAGACTGTGACACTTGCCACAGCATGGATGAACCTTCAGGATGCTATGCTCAGTGAGAGGCACGAGACACAGAGGACACACAGTGCCAGCATGGTGGCGCACACCTGTAATCCCAGCACTGGGGAAGCTGAAGCGGGAGGATTGCTGTGAGTTTGAGGCCACTGTAGGCTACATAGTGAGACCTTGCCTCACAAAAGAAAAAAAGAAGGACACACAGCATGGGCTGCATGGACAGGAAATGCCCAGGGCAGGTGAACCCAGAGACAGCAAGTAGCCTCTTGGTGCAGGGCTGGGCGGATGGGTGACTGCTCACAAGATGGAGTTTGTTTTGGGGTGACAGAATGTCTGGAATTAGAGGTGGTAGCCGCACATCATTGTGAATGTACTGACCGCTACTGAATTGTACACTGGGGGTGGAAGCCAGGGCCTTCACACTGAGCTACATCCCAGCCCCTTTTTATTTTTTATTTATTAAGTCACTAAGTTGCTCAGGCTGGTCTCAAACTTGCAATCCTCCTGCTTCAGCCTCCCATAGTGCTGGGTGATAGACATGTGCCACCACACCTGGCTCATGCATAGGGAGAGATTTTTAGGAGCCAGTGTGAGTTGTGAGCCTGTGTGCTTGGGCTGGCCGGCGCCTCCAGGCCGAGTCTCTTCCTTCCCTGGAGTCTCTGGCTGCCTGCTCAGCCCTCGCCCTCCACCCCTCCAGCTCTTGTCCAAGTACAACCCGCAGAAGGAGGCCGAGCTCCGCAGCTGGATCGAGGGCCTCACGGGCCTTGCCATTGGCCCCGACTTCCAGAAGGGCCTGAAGGATGGGGTCATCCTGTGCACGTGAGTAGACGCGGCTCTTGCTTCCACTAAGTGGGTGTTGTGTCCTTTTCTTGGCTTTGTTTTTCTTTTTTCACAGTGTCAGGGATGGAATCCAGGGTGCACACGAGGCAGGTACTCACCGCTGCACTTTTGATTTCATTTTGAGACAGGATCTTGCTAAGTTGCCCAGACAGGAGTCGAACTCAAGATCCTCCTGCCACAGCCTTCTGAATAGCTTGGATGGCAGGTGTGCAATGCTGCCCTGGGCTTCTATTTATCTTGCTGGGTGTGGTGGCGCACGTTTGTAATACCAGCACTTGGGAAGCTGAGGCAGGAGGATCCTTGCGAGTTTGCGACCAGCCTAGGCTACAAAGTGAGCTCAAGGCCAGCTTGAACTGCATAGTGAGACCCTGTCTCAAAAAGACAAAAAAAAAAAATTTGTCTTATTGGCCCGTCTGGCATCTCCAGCAGTGAACATCCCAACCGTACACTGCCCGTTTCATGAGCCATCATTCAGACTTCCACAGTTTTAGACATTAAAGGTGGTAACAGAGCCAGATGTGGTGGTGCAGGCTGTCATCTCAGCACTCTGGGAGGCTGAGGCAGGAAGATCACAAGTTTGAGCCCAGCCCGGGCAACTTAGTGACTTAGTGAGACCCTGTTTCAAAATAAATGAATTTTTAAAAGGACCGGGGATGCAGCTCAGTGGGAAAGCCCTGGGTTCCATCCCCAGCACCATAAGGAAAGACAGACAGACAGTGAAGCCGGGAGAGACAGCGAGGTTGCCCAGGAGGCCTGTGCTTGGGGGAGGTCTCAACCTAGCCTCTGAGGCTCCTGCTCTGACGAAGGCTCTGCCCCTGTCCCCCCAGACTCATGAATAAGCTGCAGCCGGGCTCGGTCCCCAAAATCAACCGCTCCATGCAGAACTGGCACCAGGTGAGGCCCCGCTGGGGAGGAGGAAGGGCAGCCCTGGCGCCCAGGGACGGGGGAGACTGAGGACCACTCCTTCCCTTCTCCTGACTCCTCCCAGCTAGAAAACCTGTCCAACTTCATCAAGGCCATGGTCAGCTATGGCATGAACCCCGTGGACCTGTTCGAGGCCAATGACCTGTTTGAGAGCGGGAATATGACACAGGTCCAGGTGTCTCTGCTTGCGTTGGCAGGAAAGGTGAGGATCAGAGAGGGACAGCATTCTGCCTGGTGTCACACAGCACGGTGGGGGTCGGTGTGCAGGGTCTCTCTCTTTCTTTTTTTTTTTTTTTTTTTTTTTTTTTGGTTCTTTTGAGAGAGGGTTTTACTATGTATCCAGGCTGGCCTCAAACTCCTGGTGATCCTCATGCCTCAGCTTCCCACAAGTTGGGAAGACAGGTGTGTGCCTGCATACCTGGCTTACTGTTTGGTTTGGTTTGGTTTTTGTGCTGTTGGCAGTGGAACCCAGGGCTCTGTGAATGCTAAGCCACTGCCGCCACTGAACTGCGCCCCATCCCCGGAAGGAGGTCTCAGGTCATGGAATTGAGCCCCAGCTGTGCTTTCTGAAGCCTCCTGTAGGAGCGGAGGCTGGGTGACCCGGGAGGAATGGGCAGGGGTCTGACCAGGGATGGGCTGGACCAGAATGGCCAGGGTAGGGAGAAGAGGGTGACTTAGGTGAGCCAGAGGAGGCAAAGACACCCCTAGAATTCCTGGTCTGGGCAGGCGTGGTGATACACGCTTGTCTTCCCAGCACTCTGGAGGCTGAGGCAGGAGAATTACTGCAAATTTGAGGGTCTCCTCCTGTCATGGGCCTCCCCAGGCCGCACTGCCAAGGCCCAGATCCAGGGTCCCTGCCACGCCCCCACCCTCCTTGCCCCTCTTTCCCCCAGGCCAAGACGAAGGGGCTGCAGAGCGGCGTGGACATCGGGGTGAAGTACTCGGAAAAGCAGGAACGGAATTTTGACGACGCCACCATGAAGGCTGGCCAGTGTGTCATCGGGCTGCAGGTGACCCTGCCGTGACATGGGCCCCTGGTGTCTTCCCAGGGAGGCTCTGGGGCCTGGCGGGCCAACCTGACCCCTCCTGTGCCTCCGCAGATGGGCACCAACAAGTGCGCCAGCCAGTCGGGCATGACGGCCTACGGCACCCGGCGCCACCTCTACGACCCCAAGAACCACATCCTGCCACCCATGGACCACTCCACCATCAGCCTGCAGATGGGCACCAACAAGTGTGCCAGCCAGGTGGGCACTGACGGCACTCGGAGTGCAGCTAAGGCCATGTTTTCCCCTCTGGGGAAGTGTCCAAGCCACTCTGTCCTCAGTTTCCCCTAAAGGGTTCCTCGAGATTCTGTTCAATTCTACTCAATTTTAAGATCCTGGGCAGCCAGGTATGGGGGCATATGCCTGTCATCCCAGCATACTGGGAGGCCGAGGCAGGAGGATCTCAAGTTTAAGGTCAGCCTAGACAATCCAGTGAAGGTCTGTCTCAAAATTAAAAACAGGCTGAAGAGTAGCTCAGTGCAGAGGCCTTTGGTTCCATTCCTAGTACTGCACAAGAAAAGATAAGAAAAGATTGTAAGATCTTCAGATTTTCCACCTAGTTGAGTGTATATGTCTATGTAATGATATTGGAGCCCTTAGCTGCCCTGGAGGACTGAGCCCTAACTGAGGAGCTTCCTGGCTGGCAAGGAGAAAGTGGAACAGTCCTGGTTTCAAGTGAGCAGGACTGAGCCAGGAGAAAAGGAACCCCCCAGGGAGCAAAGATCCACACTTCAGTGTCTGAAGCAAGCCCTGGAAAGACTCCAAGAGATTTTTGAGGTGGTTTTTTTTGAGTCAAGATGTCACTGATGCTGGCTGGGTGTGATGGCGCACGCCTGTAATCCCAGCACTCAGGAGGCTGAGGCAGGAGCATCACTGTGAGTTTGAGGCCTGCCTGGGCTACAAAGTGAGTTCAAGGCCAACCTGAGCTGCATAGTGAAACCCTGTCTCCAAAAGGCAAAAAGAAAAAAAAAACAAAAAGATGTCACTGATGTCACAAAGTTGCCTAGGCTGTGGTGGAACTTGAGGTCCTCCTGCCTCAGCCTCCCAGAGTGCTGGGATGACAGGTGTGTGCCACTGTGTATGCACCGTTGGGGGGACTCTTTGCCTGGTTTCAAAGAAGCTGGGGAAACCACCTGATAGCTGTGGGACCCCTTTTCCCTTCCTGCCCCATGGCGACCTTTCCCCTCTTTCTCCAGGTGGGCATGACGGCTCCGGGGACCCGGCGGCACATCTATGACACCAAGCTGGGGACGGACAAATGTGACAACTCCTCCATGTCCCTGCAGATGGGGTACACACAGGGTGCCAACCAAAGTGGCCAGGTGTTCGGCCTCGGCCGCCAGATCTACGACCCCAAGTATTGCCCTCAGGGCCCAGTGGCCGATGGGGTCCCCTCCGGGACTGGCGACGGCCCAGGGGATGCCTCGGAGTATCCGCCCTACTACCAGGAGGAGGCCGGCTGTTGAGGCGGTGTGCTGACCCCCACATCGTCCCTCCATCCTGGTCTTTGGTTTTTCTGTGTTTCCTTCTTTTCTTTTTAACATATTGATTGGTGCAGGGTGGGGTGGGGTGGGGTCTCTGGGGGCTCTTCTCCCCCATTTTTTTGTTTTTTGAGACAGGGTCTCACTATGTGTCTTAGGCTGGAACAAACTCATTATATAGCACAGGCTGGCCTCCAGTTTGCAACGACCCTCCTGCCTCAGCCTCCCTAGTGGGAGCCTCCCACGCCTGGCTCCCCCATCCTGTTTCTGTACCTTTGCAGGACTGAGCCACTGGGTGGGGAAGGAGTTGGCCATATTGGGGTGCAGTGGGGTGGAGGGGTCTCCCACCCCAGATTTCCCAGCAGGCCTTGGGCAGAGCTATATAGGTGAGAGACAGGACCAGCCAGGGGAACCTGGCCCCAAATGGTTTCCGGTTTCCTCTTCCCCATGAGCTTGTGGTTTCTGTACCCACAAAGGTTTCAGGCTGTTTTAAGGAAAGAAAACAGCTTTCTTTCTTTTTTTTCTTTTTTTCTTTCTTGCAAGGGGGTGGGTGTGGGGATGGTGAGGGGATGGTACGATATGGGTCCTTTGGGAAGGGGCTGCACCACAGCCCTACAATGTAGGAGCCTCGAGGAGCCCCGGATGGCCTACCCTGCCCCTGCCCTGGGTGGGGCGGCTGAGAGGGTGGAACAATAAAGTCTAGAGCAGCTGGGGCCCAGGCAGCCCCCGGCCCTCGGGACTGATCCTGCCCTGTCCCGCTCGGGCCGGACCAGCTGTACTCACCCCTCTGCTCACTGCCCTGCCAAGTACTGGACATGGACCCCCAGCCAGGGGCCCCTGGACTATGAGATAATGTGAAGTGCAAGTGTGGACCAAAGCAATAAAAAAACCTCCATTTTTAAGAAGAAAATGCCTGATATTTGAGAGCTCCCTCACCAAAGACCCTGGTGTGGGGGGTGGTTTCGCTTTGATGCTTTGCAGGGGAGGCTCTCCGAGGAGAAACAGCTTTGGGGGTCTAAAGGGAAACTGAGGCCTGAGGCCATAAGGTGAGTCTGGTTTAAAGCCCAGAATTTGGCTACGGGGAGAAGGTTAGGAAGAAAAAGACTGACCTCAAGCTCTCCCTGCCCTGTTAGCCCTGGCCCCACGCTATGGGGCCACCTCTCAGCCTCCTGGCCTCTACTGATCCCATCTTCCCAATGAACTCCTATACATCCTCAAAGCCCCAGAACAAAGCCATCTTCCTCCATGGAACACCTGCTCCATCCTGACTCCTCCTTGAACGCTCAGAGCTGTGTCTATGCATAGCCATGGCATGCTCACCATGATCTTGTGAAATGTACCCGTTTTTCAGAGTGGGGAACCATCTGGTTTTCCACAAACTCGGTAACCATTACCACCCAAGACTGTAGTGTTAGGATGTTGGGGTTCCCTTCCCTTCTGCCATCACATGGCCCAATGTGTAAGGCGCCAGGGATGTTCGTTGAATGAATGAATGAAAGAATAAAGCCCTAGGTTGGAAACCACCACCCACCCACCCCTAACACTTTTGTTTTTAAGGCAAGGTCTCTGTAGTTCAAGCTGCCCTTGAGCTGACTGTGTAGCCCAGGCAGGCCTTGATTTAGTTGAAATCCTCCTGCCTCAGCTTCCTGAGTGCTGGGGTTATAGTCTTGCAACACCTCCCCCTTTAAATTTTGTGGTAGTAGGGACTGATTGTAGGGCCTTCCCATTGCTCTACATCCTCAGTCTTTTCTTAAATTTTGCATTTTGCTAAATTAGCCAGGTTGAGCTTGAACTTACCATCCTCCTCCCTCAGCCTCTCAGAGTGCTAGGATTCCAGGTGTGCACCACCGCACAAATCCCCATATTATGGAGGGCAAATGGTATCCCTGAATCTGACTCTGGCTAGGCTCCAGGTCCCTGGGGGACAGGGCCTCTCTGGGGAGTGGGCTGAGGGCGAGATGAGCGAGCTGCCACCGGGATTGGACGCCGCAACACGTGTGTGTTCCCTTTAAGAAACCCGGCTCAAGGTGACTGGCGGTAATTCCGCCTTCTCAGGCGCTCGAAGCTCCGGATGGGCCGCTCTGTGAGTGGCGGGGGCTGAGGCCAATAACAGTGGCCGAGGGCGGGGCGCTGCTGCGGCTCCCGGTCGGGAAGCGCAGTCAGCGTCCGCGGCACCTTGCCAGCCGGGGTCTCCTTTTAAAGGGGCCGTACTCCCCGGCCGCTGTCCGGCGGAGGGAAGGCGGCTGGAGCTGGGAGGCCGAGCGGTGAGAGGAACCCACAGAAGGAGGAAGGAGGGAGACTCGAGCATGCAGGGGTGGAGTTTGGAGGTCGCCAGAGGTCAGCTGCCTGGAAGTTGGGGAATGCTGGCTGTGCCCCAGCTCATCCTTCCTTCCCGGAGTGGCCGCTGAACCGACCAGCAGTGCTCACGGCTGGAGGCCGCATCTGCGGCACTCGAAGGGCCTGCGCCTCCTGCACCTGCGAAGCCCCCATATGACCCCATTCCTGAATCCCACTGTCTAAGAAGGGGCCCTGGCGTGGAGGTCAGGGGTCAGGTTCTCTTTCCCACTGCACGGTTGACCTGCGGCTGCTTACTGCCCCTAGGCATCAGTTTTGTTATCTGTAGGATAAAGCAGACCAGAGCCGTTCGGTTCCAAGGAAATGACCGGACGAGTCGAGCTCTGTCCCTTCTCCTGACCCATTTCCCGGATCCTGTGTTTTTTCGGAGCATCAGTCCTGCATGAAGGGGCGGGCTGAGCTGGGATGCAGTCGCTGTATGGGAGCCTAGATTTGCGCCCACCTTTTCTTTTCTGTGCTGGGCATTACTGCACGTCCCCAGCCCTTTTAACAGTTTCATTTACTTATTTATTTTTTATTTTTGTTTTTTTGGAAACGAGAGCTCTAAGTTACTAAGTTGCCCAGGCTGGGTTCTAATTTGTGATCCTCCTGCCTCAGCCTCTCAGAGTGCTGGGATTACAGGCCTACCCCATCAGGCCTGGCTAATTTGTCCCTTCTTGACCCTCCGTTTCCTATTCTGTAACTGGATTGATAGCCTAGTAAACCCTGCCAGAGTCTAGTAAGCCCTGCCAGTTAGGCGGTTGACATGTTCGGCACAGTAAATATTCGTTGCTGTTATCGTTTTTTGGACAGGCGAGGTGAAAGGAAACCTCCCTTAGGTCTGGGTTGAGGCCAAGGTGAAAGGTGCCAGACCTGGACCGCGTCCCTGGGTGGGGCTTGGGGGTGGAACCTGGTGACGGAAGCGTTAAACTGAGGCTCCGCCCCTGGGGATTCGGGGATGGTCTTTAGGCCCCTTTGTGGGAGCGACAGCCATGGCAACCACTCAGCTGCGAGGACGGCTTCGGGCCGGGTTCCCATTGGTTCACCCGGGTGGAGGAGATTCCTTCATCAACTGCTTACTGTAAACCTGGCTCTAATAGAGCTTCCCGGACCCGGACCCTGCGCGGTGTGATAGTGAGAGGGATGAGTTCAGAGAGCGGCAGGGGACTGCCTGCAGCCGCACAGCACGACCCTTGCACTGACCCCTCCGTCCCGTCCACTGTGCAGTGTCGCCATGCGTTTCCGAACACAGCTGATGCTGCTGCTCTGGAAGAATTTCACATATCGCAGAAGACAGCCGGTAATGCCCAGGGGTGCCGGCCCGGTGGAACGGGCATGACCCCCCCCCATCCCCACGACCTCCCGCCTATTCTGCCCCCCAGGTTCAGCTCCTGGTCGAGTTATTATGGCCTCTCTTCCTCTTCTTCATCTTGGTGGCCGTCCGTCACTCGCACCCCCCATTGGAGCAACATGAATGTGAGCTCTGAGGACGGGGGCTTTGTGTGCGGGGGAAGGGGCTGTGGGATCCCCAGTCCACGGGGACCTCAAGCAGTGGCAGCCGGTACGCGCCCCTGGGGCTGAGCTCGCCGTCGCGGTTGGCTTACAAGCTATGGAGTGGGCAGTCTGCAGAGGCGGGGCTTCAGACAGAACCCATATCTGTCCCCAGGCCACTTCCCCAACAAGCCACTGCCGTCGGCGGGCACCATCTCCTGGCTCCAGGGTCTCATCTGCAACGTGAACAACTCTTGCTTCCCGAAGCCCACGCTGGGGGAGGAGCCGGGCTTCCTGAGCAACTTCAATGAGTCCCTGTAAGCCAAAGGCGGCGCCGCGGCTGGCTGGGAGCCCGGGTCGGGTGGGGCACTGAGCCTCCAGCCTTCTCTCTGTCCCCAGGGTGTCCCGGCTCCTAGCAGACGCCCGCACTGTACTTGGCGGGGCCGGTGCCCGCAGGACGCTGGCTGGCCTGGGTGCACTGATGCCCACACTTAGGGCTGTCCACAGCGCAGGTGAGGTGGCTGAGGTCCCCCACCTTCCCCGCTGCGTGATGGGGACCGTGGAGCGGGGGCGTCTCTGGCCAAGGTTTGCATGGCCCTGTTCTGTGCATTTGGCCCCCAGCCCGGCCTCAGCAGGATGATCGGCAGGAGCGACCTTCCCTCAGCACTCAGCTACTGGGGACACTTCTGCAAGGGGTGAGCAGGACTGAGGGACCAGCTGCTCTTGGAAACCCCTGATACCAGGCTTCAGGACCTAAAGGGACGTTCCTCATCCTGTGTCTGGACAGGGAATATCTGGCATGGTGACAAAGACTCTAGGCAGTGTGTGACCTTGAACAAGTCCTTGTATCCCTCAGAGCCTCAGTTTCCACATTTGTAAAATGGGCACAAAGGTAACATGATGGAAATTTAGTGGAGTGCTTGTCCTTAGGTAATAAGGTCCTTGTCACTCTTGGCATCTTCTCCCCAGGAATCTCTGAGGTCCATCCTGAGCCAAGCACAGGAGTCCATGGGCAGCTTTGTGGAAGCCGCAGAGGACCTGGCCCAGGAGGTAAGACTTCCCACCCAAGATGGGTATGGTGGCACTTGTCTGTCATCTCAGCACTCTGAGAGGCTGAGGCAGGAGGATCTCAAGTTCCGGCCCAGCTGGGACACCCTATCAAGACTATCTCAAAATAAAAAGAATAGGGGCTGGGGATTTAGCTCAACAGCACAGCGCCTGTCTGGCAAGTGCGAGGTCCTGAGTTCGGTTCCCGGTACTAGAAAAAAAAATCAAAATAAAAAGAATAAAAAGGGATGGGGATGTAGCTCATTGCAAATAAGTTCAATCCCCAATACTGAAAAGAAAAGACGGAAAAAGGTTTTACTTAGCGTCAAGCTGAGCCAGGAAGCAATAAGGACAGGCTGTCCCTTGGGTCAGTTTTTCTGTGCACTTGGAGCGAAAGCCAGGATTAGGAGAAGGGGCTTCCGGTGGGGTCCCTGACCTGGTCAGGGCTTGGTGGTGGCTCTGGTGGCGGGAAGATTGCCAGCGCCCTCTGATGACCTCGCCTTAGCTCCTAGCACTGCCCAGCCTGGCGGAGCTTCGGGCTCTGCTGCAGAGACCCCAGGGGACAAGCGGCTCTCTGGAGCTGGTGTCCGAAGTTCTGTGCAGTGCCAAGGGGCCCAGCAGCCAAGGGGGCCTCTCTCTCAACTGGTACGAGAACGGAGACTTGAAGGAGCTGGTGGGCATGGAGCAGGCGCCAGACCTGCCAGACCACGGCCTGAGTGAGTGACAGGCCTCAGTTTCCCTGCTTGGGAAGTGGGTGGTGGGTGTGGAGCCGGGGCTCATGGCATCCGCACCCCAGGCCCTGCCTGCTTAGAGCTGATGGGGACACTGGGCGACCACCCGCTGTCCCGCCTGCTCTGGAGACGCCTGAAGCCGCTGGTCCTCGGGAAGCTTCTCTTTGCCCCTGACACGAATTTCACTCGGCAGATCATGGCACAGGTGAGGATGGCCTGATGCTGGGGGAGGAGGTGGGGCCAGAGGGTTAGGGCAGTGTGTTCGGAAGAGGTAGGAGTTTAGTGTGGTGGCACATGCCTGTCATCCCAGCACTCAGAGAGCCTGAGGCAACTAAGCAATTTAATGGGACCCTGTCTCTAAAAGATAAAGTATATTAAAAGGCCGGGAATGTAGCTCAGTGCAAAAGCCCTGGATTCAATGCCCAGTACCAACAAAACAAAACAGGTGGAGGAGCCAGGGGAAGTGCCCAGAGGCCCTCAGAGGACATGGTAGTGGTGAATGAGTGTGGACCCTTTCCTGCAGGTGAACCGGACCTTCGAGGAGCTGGCCATGCTGAAGGACATCCAGGAGGTCTGGGGCGTGCTGGGACCCCAGCTCTTTGGTTTTCTGAACAACAGTGCAAATGTGGCCATGCTGCAGGTAGGGCTGGGGTGGAGGCAGGGCGTGGGAAGGCCTCACTCCGAGCAGGAAGGGAGACCCGCGTTGCACAGGGGTGCGGGCCCCTGTCCGCGCCAGAGACCCTCCTCACCTGACCCCTCCCCCAGAGTCTCCTGCATATGCAGGAGAAAAGAAGGAAGCGGCCAGGACCTGGAGGCCGCACGGGGGCCGAGGCCCTTCGGTCTTTCCTGGACCCCGGCAGGGGCGGCTACAGCTGGCAGGAGGCGCTTGCTGATGTGGACCGCGTGGTGCGCACGCTGGGCGGCGTGATGGAGGTGAGGGCCTGTAGGGAGGCAGAGTCCAACCTGGCGATCAGAGCGTCGGGGGTAGCTCTACTCCAGGGCTCCAAAGGGGAGAGGCCGCCTTGTCCTGCGGAGGCCCTGAGGGGACAGGTTCGCCCCCTCACTCCCCGCAGTGCGTGTCTCTGGACAAGCTGGAGGCCACACCCTCGGAGGCCGCCCTGGTGTCCCGGGCCCTTCAGCTGCTGGCTGAACGCCGCCTCTGGGCTGGCATCGTCTTTCTGGGACCAGAGGACGCCCCCGACCCTGCAGAAGGGTCGGTGCCGGGACAGAGTCCTGGACACTTGCGAGTCAAGATTCGCATGGACATCGATGATGTCACCAGAACCAATAGGATCATGGACAAGTGAGCGTGGTGGGCAGGGCTGGGTCGAGAGCGTGGTGGTTGGGGCCCGGCAATTCAGCCTATTGGAGACGGAGGGGCGGAGCCTAGATGGTGCCCACAAAAGGCAAGCTAGGCAGAGCCCCGGGAACCTTAGACCAATCGGGATCGTGGTGGGCGTGGCCTATGACTCGAGGAGCTAGCCAGGGCCCTCCCATGGGATAGGTGGAGAGCGGGCCGAGGACGTTCAGCCTATTGGATACCGTGATGGGCAGAACCTGCGCTTTACTCATGTACACTGGGCTCTGCCCAGAGTGCCTTAGACAATTAAGAGTATTGGTGGGCGTGGCCTGGCGGCCCGGGGTAGAAAAGGAAAATGGGTCTAGGTGGAGGGTTGTAGACCCAGGCCAGGTGCTATACTGAGCGCGCAGATTAAAGACAGAATGGGCTGTGACCCACAAGGAGCTCCCAGTCCTTCTCCACCGTTGACTGCCACGCCCCTCGCACAGGTTTTGGGACCCGGGCCCAGCCGCAGACCCCCTGTCGGACCTGCGCTATGTATGGGGTGGCTTCGTGTACCTGCAGGACTTGGTGGAGCGGGCGGTCGTGCGTGTGCTCAGCGGCGCCGACCCCCGCACAGGCCTCTACCTGCAGCAGATGCCCTACCCGTGCTACGTGGACGACGTGTGAGCGCTGGGCCCACCCCACTCAGCCCCAGCCCCCTGTCCCGGAGCTTAGGGGACACTCAAGGCTGCAAGAGTCCCTGTGACCACCCCCCAGCAGGGGGAGGGGCCGGGGTTCTCGAGGATCTTGGGGCACAGAGGGAAAGTGACTTGTACTGAGGCCTGGACCCTCTGCTGCATCAGGCTCCGAGCGGGGGACCCTCGGAGTCCCAGGGCGAGCGGCCGTGCCACGTTGGGGCGGGGAGGCGCAGAGTCCGCATCCTTATCCCCGCGTCCCTCCCAGCTTCCTGCGGGTGCTGAGCCGCTCCCTACCGCTCTTCCTGACGCTGGCCTGGATTTACTCGGTGGCGCTGACCGTGAAGGCCGTGGTGCGCGAGAAGGAGACGCGGCTGCGCGACACGATGCGCGCCATGGGGCTGGGCCGCGCGGTGCTCTGGCTGGGCTGGTTCCTCAGCTGCCTCGCGCCCTTCGTCCTCAGCGCAGTGCTGCTGGTGCTGGTGCTCAAGGTGCGCGCCTCGGCCCCCTCAGTGCTGCAGGGGCACGCGGGACTCGGACGCTCGGATCGCGCGAGCCCCAGAGCCCAAGCCAAGTCCGGACAGAGCCCTGAGCTCCCTTTGCCCCTCCCCCACACAGCTGGGGGACATCCTCCCCTACAGCCACCCGGCCGTGGTGCTCCTTTTCTTGGCGACCTTCGCGGTGGCCACCGTGGTCCAGAGTTTCCTGCTGAGCGCCTTCTTCTCCCGTGCCAACCTGGCCGCCGCCTGCGGAGGCCTCGCCTACTTTGCTCTCTACCTGCCCTACGTGCTGTGCGTGGCCTGGCGGGAGCGGCTCCCCGCAGGGGGCCGCGTAGCCGCGGTGAGGGGCGGGGCGGAGCGGGGCGGTGGGGGCGCCCCTGGCCGCGGCCGCCTGCTGACCTGCCCACCGCAAACTGCAGAGTCTGCTGTCGCCCGTGGCCTTCGGCTTCGGGTGCGAGAGCCTGGCACTGCTGGAGGAGCAGGGCGAAGGCGCGCAATGGCACAACCTGGGCCGTGCGCCTGCTGCCGATGTCTTCAGCCTAGCGCAGGTCTCGGGCCTCCTGCTGCTGGACGCTGCACTCTACGCCCTCGCCATCTGGTACCTGGAGGCCGTGTGCCCAGGTGGGCCTAGAGGGTGGGGCCCAGGGCGGGGACGCGACTGTGCACCAGAGGACTTCTGGTCTTTGGACTCCCAGGTTAGGTTCCTTCTAGAGGCGGGACTGCGGCGCACGTGCGCCCGAGCCTTTGTCTGGACCCGGGGTAGTGGCGCACGCCTATAATTCTTAGTGTTCTGGGAGGCTGAGACAGGAGGAGGCTCACAAGTTCGAGTCCAGCCTGAGCATTTTAGCAACTTAGCGAGACTTATCTCTTACAAAAAAAAAAAAAAAAAGAAAAAGGAACGGCCGGGCGTGGTGGCGCATGCCTGTAATCCCAGCACTCGGGAGGCTGAGGCAGGAGGATCATTGCGAATTCGAGACCAGCCTGGGCTACAAAGTGAGCTGAAGGCCAAAAAAAAGAAAAAAGAAAAAAGAAAAAAAAAAGCCGGTGTCCTTGTACATGAAGACTCAGGCCCCAGTTGAGAGGACGGAGCTTCCCCGCACTAGCGTCTCCGTGGCTGTCAGGGGCTGGGGGTGGGGCTTGCCAGGGAGCCAAAACCTCGCCCAGCTGGCTGCCCAGCTTAAGGAGTGTGGCCAGGCTTAGGTGTCCTCCTTGCGGAAAGCAAGCATAACTGAGAGCCGCTTCTCTCCAGGCCAGTACGGAATCCCCGAACCGTGGAATTTCCCCTTTCGGAGGAGCTACTGGTGTGGACCTGCACCCCCCAAGGGTCCTGCTCCAGCCCCTGCCCCACAGGACCCAAAGGGTGAGACTCCACCTAACCAGCTCCTTTCCCATTTGGACTCTGGAGTCCCACTGATCTCCAGAGAAACCAGGTTCCCTATATTCTAGTCCCCCTGCTACACCCCAGCTCAGGTTGCAGCCCCTTGGGGCTTCCCTAACTCTATTTTCAAAAGTAGTACTGGGAGTTGAACCCAGTACCTTGATGTTAAGTTACATGCCCAGCTCTTTTCATTTTTTTTTTCCCCCTGGGTAGAGGGAATTGAACTCAGGAGTTTGTCCTGGCCAGGCAGGCGCTTGTGCCACCGAGCTATATCCTCGGCCCTCTCTTTTTGTATTTTTTAAGACAGAGTCTTGCTAAATTGCTAAATTTCTCCAGCTGTGCTCAAACTTGAGCTCCTCCTGCCTCAGCCTCCCAGAGTGCTGGACTGCAGGTGCCCATCACCATGCCTGGCTGTTCCCTAACTCCTGCAAACTCCAACTTGATCCAGTTCCAGTTCTAAGGGATCTCCTCCCCCCATGACTCTGCCTCTTTCTGCAGTGCTGGTGGAAGGGGCACCGCCTGGCCTGTGTCCCGGAGTCTCCATCCGGGGCCTGGAGAAGCGCTTCCCAGGTTGCCCGCAACCAGCCCTGCGAGGGCTCAGCTTGGATTTCTACCAAGGCCACATCACTGCCTTTCTGGGCCACAATGGCGCGGGCAAGACCACCACACTGTGAGCTGCCAGACATGCTGCTCGCTCCCCTGAATCCCCTTCCTCATCTGTCCAGTGCAGAACACATCTGGGGTCAGAAGGTTCTGGGCTGTAACCTGGGCGTGTGATGACACACACCTGTCATCCCAGCATTCTGGGAGGCTGAGGCAGGAGGATGGAAAGTTCCAGCCCAGCCTGGGTAACTGAACAATTAATTGAGCAAGACCCTGTCTCAAAATTTAAAAAAGGACTGGGATGTAGCTCAGCGCGGAGGCCCTGGGTTCTGGGGTGTACTTGGGGACTGGCAGCCCCATTTCACTTTGGGCATACAAAAGGCAGGGATAAAGTATTTGCTCAGCTTCAGATTCCTTCCTATAAAATGGGGACACAATACCCCTTTGGAGAGAGTGTATTGGCTTACGCCTGTAATCTCAGCATTCTGGAGGCTGAGGCAGGAAGATTGCTACAAGTTTATGGCCAGCCTGAGCTATATAGCCTCTGTCTCAAACACAAAACCCAAAATACACGGTTGGGTTGGGTGTGCAGTAGGTGTCCTGAGAGAGGTGCTGCGCTGAGACCCCTGCACCCCCAGGTCCATCCTGAGCGGCCTCTTTCCGCCCAGCGGTGGCTCGGCCTTCGTCCTGGGGCATGATGTCCAGTCCAGCATGGCGGCTGTGCGGCCTCACCTGGGCGTGTGCCCACAGTACAATGTCCTGTTTGACATGTGGGTACTGGTGGCTGGTGGGGGGCGGGTCCCTCCATCCCCGCACACCCTGATGGCCGCCCTTCTCCCTGGCCATAGGCTGACGGTGGACGAGCACGTGTGGTTTTACGGCCGGCTGAAGGGTCTGAGCGCAGCTGCTGTGGGCCCCGAGCAGGACCGGCTGCTGCGGGACGTGGGGCTCATCCCCAAGCGGAGCACACAGACGCGCCACCTCTCTGGTGAGCTCGCCAGAGGGCGGGAAGCAAGGACAGATCTGGGCACTGATGTCTGTGCGGGTGGGCAGAGCGGCTGAGATCTCCCTGTCTCCCTAAGGTGGGATGCAGCGGAAGCTATCAGTGGCCATTGCCTTTGTGGGCGGCTCCCGTGTCATTATCCTGGATGAACCCACTGCCGGTGTAGACCCTGCTTCCCGTCGTGGCATTTGGGAGCTGCTGCTCAAATACCGAGAAGGTGAGAGCTTGAGGAAGACTGAGGTTCCCCCTGGATTCTGCTTCTGGGCATTCAGGAAAGGTTTCTGGCAAGGTAGTGCTGGTGTGGGGTTTTGAGGGATGAGGAGGAGTTTGCCACTTGGGGTAGGCAATTCCATCCTGGATACCACAGCTTTGGGAAAGCCCTGGTAGTTTGAGATGGTTCATTAGGGTCCCCATGCCCAGGTCGAACACTGATCCTCTCCACCCATCACTTGGATGAGGCTGAGCTACTAGGAGACCGGGTGGCTATGGTGGCAGGTGGCCGCCTATGCTGCTGTGGCTCACCACTGTTCCTGCGTCGCCACTTGGGCTCTGGCTACTACCTGACACTGGTGAAGAGTCCCCCGTCCCTGGCCACCAGAGAAGAGGTGAGGACCCTGGAGCCCTGACCCCCACAGCTTCTTCCAGCCCGGTTGCCTTGCCAACTGCTGCCCCTGCCTGCAGGGTGACAGTGACTGGAAGGACAGGCTGGGCACTGCACAGAAGCACGAGCCAGACAGCCAGGACAGCACAGCAGGTGGGAGCTGGCCTGGGCCACCCAAAGGAAGGGTGGTGGCGGCGTGGCTTAATTCAGGGGACCCCAAGGGCCCAGTGTGCTAGCACATGCCTGTCATCCCACGCTTGGGAGGCTGAGGCAGGAGGGTTGTCATGAGTTTGAGGCCAGCCTGGGCCACATAACGAGACCCTCTCTCAAAAAACCACAAATATTTAGGGGAACCCAGAATTCAGGGGACCTCTGATCCCCAGCCTTGGGATACATCGAAACAGTCACTCTGTCCAACTCTGGTCCATACCTTTACCTCATCTTGTAATCTCAGCACTCTGGGAGGCTGAGGCACAAGTTCGAGTCCAGCCTGGGTAACTAGTGACTCAGAGAGACTCTGTGTCAAAATAAAAAATCAAAAGGGCTGGGGTTGGAGGTCAGTGTGGAGTCCTGTTTTCCATCCCTTTTACCATACAAACAAAAACAAAACCTGGGTCAACTAGAAAACGAAGCTGCCTCTGACCTTTGCCTGCAGGGTCAGGGGTGGGGATCTCACAGGCCCTGCTTCCCCCAGATGCACCCCAACTCCTGAGCCTGGTGAGGTGCTGGGTGCCTGGGGCACAGCTGGTGGAGGAGCTGCCCCACGAACTGGTGCTGGCAATGCCCTACGAGGGCGCCCAGGATGGCAGCTTTGCCAGGCTGTTCCAGGAGCTAGATAGGCAGCTGGGCACACTGCGGCTCGCCGGCTACGGGATCTCGGACACCAGCCTGGAGGAGGTGCAAGGGGGCTGTGGGAGAGGCTGATGTGGGTCTGCTGGGTGAGCAAGGGAGGCCTGGAGAAGAGGGGCTTTGGAGTATGAGTAGGAGTTTGCTTACGGACAGCAGGGGCATTACAGTAGGGGTGGAAGCAGACGAGGGGCTCCTTCCCGTGGCCCCCAGGCTCTCAGCTCTTGTTTGTTTCCTCAGATTTTCCTGAAGGTGGTAGAAGACAATAGCAGGGACCTAGAACTGATAGGAGCGGTGGCAGCTCCCCGACCCTTGAGCTCTCACCCTGGTCCAGAGCTGGATACGACCTCAGGCCGAGTCTCCGAACCTGGTTGAGTCCACCCCCAATGCATAGCCCTGCTCCTGACTTCTTTGCCCCTGACCCTTGACCTTGGCCCCTGGCTGAGCACTGACCCCTGCCCGTGACCCTGTTGACCCCACAGATGGTATGTCCTGGCCACATGTGCCCATGGCCACCCCACGGCTCCCAAAACTGCCCGAGGAGTCAGCCCTGGAGAATGGAGAGCCCGGTGAGTCCTGCCCTTGCCCACCATGACCCCCATGGCCCCCATGGCCTGACCTCTGACCCTCCCATCCCCACCAGCCGGGCTGGCCTCAGAGACACAGGCCCTGCAGGGTTCTGGGCCAGACATCACAGGCCGGGTCCGGGGCTGGGCCCTGACCTACCAGCAGCTGCGGGCCCTCCTTCTCAAGCGCTTTCTGCTTGCTTGGCGCAGCCACCGAGGCCTGTTTGCACAGGTGAGGGGGCCCAGCCAGCATCAGGGTTGGGGAGCTTGGGTCAGGGGTTCCTGGGTACTGTCTCCACCCCAGCTATCCACTCAGTGGCTTCACTCAACAGTTTAGGCCCATGTGTACTTTTTTTTTTTGGTTTTAGTTTTGTTTTTTTTCCGGTACCGGGAATCGAACTCATGACCTTGTGCTTGCCAGGCAGGCGCTGTACTGCTGAGCTAAATCCCCAGCCCAATCATGTGTACTTATTGAAGGCACTGGGGAGCCATGGATAGTTCTATAGCAAGAGCAGGGACGGGGTGGGGTGGGGTGGAGGTGGCAACTGATGAACTATCCTCCCAGATTGTACTCCCCGCCCTCTTTGTGGGCCTGGCTCTGGTGTTCAGCCTCATCGTGCCTCCTTTTGGCCACTACCCAGCGCTGCAACTCAGGCCTGCCATGTATGGTGCCCAGGTGTCTTTCTTCAGGTGGGCGTCAGGGACAGAAGGTGGGGGGGGGAGGGCTGGGGGCCTAGGGCAAAGCCATGACCCTCCCCCCTCCACAGTGATGATGCCCCAGGGGATCCAGACCGGGCCCGTCTGCTCGAGGCACTGCTGGAGGAGGCTGGCCTGGAGCAGCCGGAAGTACACAACAGCTCCACCTGGTGCGCCCACCCTCCCTGCCTTGCTTTTCCTTCTGGGCTCCAGTCCGATTACTGGGGTGTCCAGGGTCCCTGGTAACCCTGCCTCCATTTCCACAGGACCCCCCAGTGTCTGCAGGGCCCAGCATGCCACTTCTCGGTCCCTGAGGTTCCCACCGACGTGGCCAAGGTCTTGGCCAGTGGCAACTGGACACCAGGATCCCCGTCCCCGGCCTGCCAGTGCAGCCGGCCTGGTGCCCGCCGCCTGTTGCCTGACTGTCCCGCTGCAGCCGGGGGACCCCCGCCACCCCAGGCCCTGAGCAGCTCAGGGGAAGTGGTGCAGAACCTGACGGGCAGGAACCTATCTGACTTTCTGGTCAAAACCTACCCACAGCTGGTGCGCCAGGGGTGAGCAGCCACTGGGGGCATGGGTTGCCTTTTTTTTATTTTTATTTTTTTCAGTACTGGGGATCAAACCCAGGGCCTTCACATTGAGCTACATCCCCAGCTCTTATTTTTAATTTAGAGACAGACGTGCTGTGTTACTAAATTACCTAGACCTGGCTTGAACTTGAGATCCTCCTGCCTCAGCCTCCTAGAGCGCTAGGATGACAGGCGTGCTCTACCACACCTAGCTGGGGAGAGCAGCTGGGGTGCCAGAAGGGTTGGATGCCAGCTGGGACCCTCCCCTCTGTGTTTGCATCTTGCTCTTAACTCTCAGACATCTCCATCTGTCCCCATTCCTGTCTGTCTGTCTGTCCCTCCTACAGCCTGAAGACCAAGAAGTGGGTGAATGAGATCAGGTGAGGGGGGACCTGGCCTGGGGTCCCCTGTCCTGGCACCTTTCCCGTGCCTTCTGCCTTCCCTTGGCTTCCTGGTCCTCAAGTGCCACCCTCACCACTGCCCAGGTACGGGGGCTTCTCACTGGGGGGCCGTGACCCAGGCCTGCCCTCTGGCCGAGAGCTAGGCCATGCAGTGGAGGAGCTGCGGGCACTGCTGAGCCCCCAGCATGGCGGGGCCCTCGACCGCATCCTGAACAACCTCACCATGTGGGCTCTTGACCTGGATGCTCAGAACAGCCTCAAGGTGGGAACTGGGGTGCAGGTGGGTGTCCCCCCTCCATCACCCTCACCCTGAGGCCCTGACCTGGTAACCGTGACTGTTCTCAGATCTGGTTCAACAACAAAGGCTGGCACGCCATGGTGGCCTTTGTCAACCGAGCCAATAACGCACTCCTACGCGCTCAACTTCCCCTGGGCCCTGCCCGTCATGCCCACAGCATCATCACGCTCAACCACCCCCTGAACCTGACCAAGGAGCAGCTGTCAGAGGCTGCGCTGTGAGTCTCAGCCCCATTCCCCCACCCATGCCTCAGTGTCCCTGCTGTTTTTGGTGGTGGGGCTGGATTTGAACTCTGCCACATGCTGGCCATGTAAATAGGCACCCTCATTCCCAGCATGGCCTCCTCGGTGGATGTCCTGGTCTCCATCTGTGTGGTCTTCGCCATGTCCTTCGTCCCAGCGAGCTTCATCCTGGTCCTCATTGAGGAGCGTGTCTCTCGGGCCAAGCACCTGCAGCTCATAGGGGGCCTATCCCCAACTCTCTACTGGCTGGGCAACTTCCTCTGGGATATGGTGCGGGTGGGGGCCTGCATGGGTGAGGTCTGCAGCGTGGTGAGACCCACATACCCTTTCCCAAAATAGCCAAGGAGGTTGAAGCTGAGTGTGGTGGTGCATGCCTCTCATCCCAGCTCCTTTGGAAACAGACAACAGGATAGCAAGTTCAAGCCCAGCCTTAGTGACTTAGTGAGACCCTGTCTGAAAATAAAAAATAAAAGCTGGGCATGGTGGCGCATGCCTACAATCCCAGCACTCGGGAGACTGAGGCAGGAGGATCTTTGTGAGTTCGAGGCCAGCCTGGGCTACAAAGTGAGCTCAAGGCCAGCCTGAACTGCATAGCAAGACCCTGTCTCAAAAAGTCAAAAAACTAAAAAATAGAAAGGGCTTGAGGTGTAGCTCAGTGTGAAGGCATTGGGTTTGATCCTTGCTACTTAAAAAAAAAAAGTGAGAGGTTGAGGGGGGCACAGGGCCAAGGGTGGGAATCACTTCCCCTTCTTACCCAAGGGTGCTTCCTGTCTCCACTGCAGTGTAACTACTTGGTGGCAGCATGTATTGTGGTCCTGATCTTCCTGGCCTTCCAGCAGAAGGCCTATGTGGCTCCTGACAACCTGCCTGCGCTCCTGCTATTATTGCTGCTGTATGGGTGAGGGCCCCGCTTGCTGCGGAGGAGGGACATGGGAGTTCACTGCAGCTCCTGAGAGACTGGAGGTGATCCCAGTCATACTAGCCTCAGTGGGACGCTAATGTGGCCTTAAAAGCTCATCATAAAAAAAAAAAAAAAGCTCATCAAGAGCTAAGCACACCGATACGTGTAATCTCATCACTCTGGGAGTCTGAGGCAGGAAGATCTCAAGTTCAGTCACAGCCTGAATATAGTCACTTGTGGCCCTTGTCACCCACAGCTGGTCGATCACACCACTCATGTATCCAGCCTCCTTCTTCTTCTCTGTGCCCAGCACGGCCTACGTGGTGCTCACCTGTATTAACCTCTTTATTGGCATTAATGGCAGCATGGCCACCTTTGTCCTTGAGCTCTTATCTGACCAGGTAGGACTCTGAGGTGGCTGGGCTTGGGATAGATTGGGAGCCTCAGCTCTCTGAACCACAGCTTCTTCCTGCCTCCTGAGCAGAACCTCCAGGATGTGAGCCGAATCTTAAAACGGGTCTTCCTGATCTTTCCCCATTTCTGCCTGGGCCGAGGGCTCATTGACATGGTGCGGAACCAGGCCATGGCTGATGCCTTTGAGCGCTTGGGTAAGGACTTCTTGTCTCATGGGGTGAGGATCAAGGGGGTAGGAGAGCAAATTGCCTCCAGGGAGAGAACTGAGCACTTTAGACATCCTAAATGCTGAGCTAAGTTAGAGATACAAACATGCAGTACAACAGCAACATGCAGTGGTAAAAGCTAATTCTATGTTGGATCATGTCACAAGTGGTCTAAAAAAGGGAGGTGATATGTCAGGTCTTTTTTTTTAAGTTTTGAGACAGGGTTTCACTATGTCATTTAGGTTGGTCTTGAATTTGCTTATGTAGCCTGGGCTGGCCTCAAACTCAGCAATTCTCTTGCCTCAGCCTTCTGAGTGCTGGCATTACAGATATGTGCCACCACATCCAGTGATATGTCTATTTTCTAGGCAAATTAGATCTCAGCTGAGCATCCTACCCAGAATTTGGTCCTCTCTCCTAAGCATCCAGGGTGAACTGGAGAGGGTACCAGACACTGAGTCCTCCAAGGACCTTCCTTCTTATCCCCACAGGAGATAGCCAGTTCCAGTCGCCCCTGCGCTGGGAGGTGGTTGGCAAGAACCTCCTGGCCATGATGGTGCAGGGACCCCTCTTCCTCCTCTTCACGCTTTTGCTGCAGCACCGAAGCCACCTCCTGCCACAGTCAGTGGGGACCAGGGAAGGGTGGCAGGGGCCAGGGGCCTACCTGAAGCTCACTCATGTCACATATCCTTAGCCCAAAGATGGGGCTGCTGCCACCCTTGGGGAAAGAGGACGAGGATGTGGCCCGGGAACGGGAGCGGGTGACCAAAGGAGCCACCCAGGGGGACGTGTTGGTGCTCAGGGACCTGACGAAGGTAGACACAGCTGGGCAGAGAGCTGGGCTGGGGCCCCCTCTGTCCCCGTTCCTTTCTCAGCGACCTGTGTCTCTTCTAGGTATACCGGGGGCAAAGGACACCAGCTGTGGACCGCTTGTGCCTGGGGATCCCCCCTGGAGAGGTGAGGGGGCCAGGGGCCATGGCTGTGGGGGTCAGTGCTGAGCACACTTTACTAAATCCTACGAGAACTACTGAGTGTCCATCACCCTCCTGAGGGCCTGTATTTAAGGCCACATTAACAACCCCCCATGAAGCACCTGTTGCAGGCTTGACATGGGGGTGCACATCTGTCATCCCAGCACTCTGGAAGGCTGAGGTAGGAGGATCCCAAGTTTAAGCCCTGCCTGGGCAACTCAGCAAGACTCCAACTCAAAATAAAAACTACAAAAGGTTGGGGATGCAGCCTGCTGTTCCATCCCTGGGACCACAAAGAAAAAGAGCACCTACTGCATGCTTACATTTATTTATTGTTGTTGTTGTTTTGAGACAGGGCCTTGCTACATAGCCCAGGATAACCGTGAACTCATGGTGATTGTCTTGTCTCGGCTTCCCCAGTTATAGGCCTGTGCCACCATAGCTGGCCTTTGTTTGATTGTTTTGGCTTATAATTCCATTTACTGAGCACCCCATGTAGTCACGAAAGGTGTACTGAATTTTACTTTTGTGTCAGTTGCGTTTTCTCAAGCATTTATGGAGCCCCCCATACGACACACTTTAATAAGCCAAGACTTATTAAAGTACCCATGTTGTCCCAATTCACATGTACACTTATGTGCCCACCTGTTTGCTGTGTGCCATTTGGTGGCACCTGTCGGGTGTCGGCTCACGTTGTAAGCTACTGTACACTGCGTTGTTTGCCAGCCATGCTCTCACTCAGGAGCAGGTGGCATTTCAGTGAGTACTCGCAGCAGGGGACCCACTGTGGGCTGGCACACAGCTGACAGTCTTGCCCCTGGTATCTGTGGTGTGTGACCTCCTAGGACACCTGCTGGGTGCCTGGATCCATTAGACAAATCCCAGCGCCTCTCCCAGCTAAATGCCAGCTCTCTGCCTTCCTATGGATGCCAGTCACCCTCCTGGGGCTCCACTTGGCCCTAGGCCCCCATGAGGAACCCCAGCCACGTGGGCACCAAGGCCTCACCGAGCCCTGTTTGTGTCCCATAGTGTTTTGGGCTGCTGGGGGTGAACGGAGCAGGGAAAACGTCCACTTTTCGCATGGTGTCGGGAGACACGCTGCCCAACGGAGGCGAGGCCGTGCTGGCAGGCCACAGGTGAGGGGACCCCAGGGGATGGGGGGGCTGACCGAGCCAGTACCCCGCATTACCACGGGTCCCCCATGCCCCCTGTGCATGGGCCGCGCCCCGAGACACATGGCCCTGGCCAGAGTGGGCCTGGATGGGTGGATCCCGAGACCCTGGTGCGTGGCTCCAGTATGGACACTTCCTGAGCCTCCTGTCCCCTGCCTCCCAGCGTGGCCCAGGAACCGGCCGCCGCACACAGCCGCATGGGCTACTGCCCTCAGTCCGATGCCATCTTCGAGCTGCTTACAGGACGTGAGCACCTGGAACTATTTGCACGCCTGCGCGGAGTCCCAGAGGCCCAAGTGGTGCAGGTGAGCACCCCCATTCCTGCTGCCCTGGAGCAGCCCCGCCCCTGGTTATGGGCCACGCCCCTAAGCTACAGAAGCTCTCCTTTGGTTCCCGCCCCTGCCCCGACTTCCTTCCTTCCAGAGTCACAGCTCCTGGCCACGCCCAGGCTCCGACGAACAAACTCCCTCTTCCCCTTGGCTCCACCACTGTCCCCTGCACGAGGTCTGATTCCTCTGACGAGGTCTGAATCCTGCTGTCCTAGTCACACCCTCAAGCAGTGGCCCTATCTTTGGCTCTCTAACTCTTGGCTCCGCCCCTGTCCCTGCCCCTGCCCCCAGATCCCGCTTGGTTTTTTTTGTTTTTTGTTTTTTTTTCTTCCGGTACCGGGAATTGAACTCACGAACTCACGCTTGCCAGGCAGGCGCTGTGCCGCTGAGCTAAATCCCCAGCCCCTTCCCGCTTGGTTAAATTAAAGCCTCAGCTCTCCTTGCCCCAGCTCCTCCTCCGGCCAGCTCCGCTCCTTCAATCCCACTACCCTGTGCACCTCCCGGCTGTGGCTTCGGTTAGAGCTTCGCCTCTTTCGCTCAAGGTCCCCTTCTGGCTCCCTCTTGCCACTCAGCTTGCATCCTCAGTGACCACACTTTACCTCTCTGGCCCTGCTCTGTGTGCGCTCTGGTCCTTAGGGTGGCCCCACGCCATGCTCACCCGAGTTCTGCCCATCCTTCTCTTCCTGCCCTGCACCCACTCGAACCCTGCTCCATTCCTCAGGGCCTCCCCACATTCCACTCCGCCTTCACCCCCTGCTCATTCTGGCCCCAGTCCTGGGTCAGTCTGGCCCCATGCCTCCTCTGGCCCGTCCAACGCTCGCCATGGCCCTGCCCACTTCCACTCTGGCCCCGCCCCTTGCCCACTCTGGCCCTCCCCATGCTCGCCATGGCCCGCCCCACTTCCAGGGTGGCCCCGCCCTGGTACACTAGCCCCACCCTCTGCCTATTCTGCCCCGCCCCGTAGCCGCTTTATCCCTGACCCACTCCCACTCTGGCCCCGCCCCTTGCTCTCTAACCGCACCCCTGTCCACATTGGCCCCACCTCTTGCTCTCTCTGGCCCCACCCCGCAGACAGCCAGCTCCGGCCTGGCGCGCCTGGGGCTCCTGGGGTACGCAGACAGACCAGCAGGCACCTACAGCGGCGGCAACAAGCGGAAGCTGGCGACGGCGGTGGCTTTGGTGGGGGACCCAGCAGTGGTGTTTCTGGTGCGTCGGGGGTCCTGGCTGGGCGGGGTCTGGGACGGGGGAGGGGAGGAGGTAGGACTAGACTTAGTGCCTTCCCCCCTTCCCAGGACGAGCCCACCACCGGCATGGACCCCAGCGCGAGGCGCTTCCTCTGGAACAGCCTCCTAGCCGTGGTGCGGGAGGGCCGCGCTGTGGTGCTCACCTCGCACAGGTGGGCCCTCCGCCACTGCATCCCCGGGGTGGAGGTCGAGGAGGTCCGGGCTGGGGGAGAGGTTGTCTAGCGCAGAAGTCAATGCGCCTGGGGAGGTTTTGACCTGCTGGGGTGAAAGTCCCGAGAAGAGGAACCTCTAGAGCATCCTGGGCCCGGCAGGAATCCCAGAGTAGAGGGTGTCCGAGGTCTGGAGGGAGGGTCCTGGCCAGGAGAGCATAGGTACCCGCGGCCACCGGCTCATGGAACGGGGCCCCCGCAGCATGGAGGAGTGCGAGGCGCTCTGCACGCGCCTGGCCATCATGGTGAACGGGAGGTTCCGCTGCCTGGGCAGCGCGCAGCACCTCAAGAGCAGGTGAGCACCCCAGGTGAGAGGTCTCCAGAGAGGAGTGAAGTTGTGGGCGGGGCGGGGGAGCCACCAGGCCTAGGGCCGGAGGGGAAATTGAATCTAACTGAGGAGGAGCCAAGCACTGTGGCTCGTGCTAGATTTGACTAACAGAGTGAGGTCAGAGGACTGACAGGCAGGGCCAGGAGGGAGATGTGATCTGATTGGTGATCTTGAGGCTGTGGGTGGGCCCATAGGCGGGGTTAGAGAAAGGTTGGTGAGTGGGCGGGGTCTGCGGGTGGGGACCCCCTAAGAAAGTGGTGAGTGGTGGTAGAACAAGGTTAGGGCGCACGAGGTGGAGCGACATGTGCTGGGAAGGGAGTCAGACGGACTCATGGTTAGGCGTGAACTTGGGACCATTTGTAGAGATGGCGGGGCCAGAGTGTAGTAGGGGGGTTATGGGTTATGAGCAGGCGTCGCTGGTTGGGTGGTTGTGTCCTAGAGAGGTGAGGCGGGGCCCTGAGCAGAAGTGGGCGGAGTCACGTGAGTGGGCGGGGCTTCACTGGGTGCGGTTGGAGGGAGGGGCAAGGAGGAGCAGGGGCGAATCTGTGCGCAGAGTAGGAGGTGTCTGGTGGGGTGCGGATGAAGAAACCTGGGATGGTGTGGGCCAGGTGTGGGGTGTGGTGGGCTGTCGGCATGTGTGGCACTGTCCCTGGCACTGTCCACCCCAGGTTCGGAGCTGGCCACACGCTGACCCTGAGAGTGCCTGCAGACCGGCCAGAGCAGGCAGCGGCCTTCGTGACAGCCCAGTTCCCGGGGGCGGAGCTGCGGGAAGCGCACGGGGGCCGCCTACGCTTCCAGCTGCCGCCGGGAGGGCGCTGTGCCCTGGCGCGAGTGTTCGGGGAGCTGGCGGCGCATGGCCCTGAGCACGGCGTGGAGGACTTCTCAGTGAGCCAGACCACACTGGAGGAGGTGACTGCGATGCCGGCCAGGGCTGGGGACGTCTGGGGCCAGCACCCTGGGCTCATAGTCCTTCCTCCTGCGCCTTCTCTCTGGGCCAGGTATTCCTGTACTTCTCCAAGGACCAGGGGAAAGATGAGGAGGATGCTGAAAAGGAGGCCGAGGTGGGGGTGGACCTGGCACCAGACCTGCAGTGCCCCAAACGCACCTCAAGCTGGTTTCTCGATGACCCCAGCACTGTGGAGACAGTGCTCTGAGCCTTCTTGTCCTGGGGGCAGGTGGGAGCCCCCCAACGCCAGAATAAAATAGGCCAGGTTGCTGCGCATGATGGCATATGCCTGTCATCCCAGTACTCAGGAGGCTGAGGCAGAAAGATTGCTGAGAGTTGGTGGCCAACCTGGGCTACACAGTGAGTTCAAGAGCAGCCTGGGCTACATACACAGGGAGACCCTGTCTACAAACAAACAAACAACTCCAAGGGAGTGTGAGGGACCCAGGGCTGGGCTGAGCTCCCAGTGAACATGAAGCCCTCGAGGAATAAAGACAAGGCTAGAAAGGTGTGGTGTCAACAGTGTGTGTCTTTGTGGCAGGCATGTGGGGCCCCCTAGTAGCCTGGTGTCCTGTCCCTGGGTCCCTGTGTGCCCACATGGGCCTGGCACCTAAGGGTGACAGCTGGGAGTGCTTGGACTGGGAAGTGGGGAGAGGTCAGGGCTCTGGAATGTCCCAGGTGCCTTACAGCCTGGAGCACCTGCCTTCCTGCCATCCCAGAGCCCTCTGCCTGCCAGCCTTTCCTACCCCGGCCCCAGAGCAATGAGTGGGCAGCAGCTGGTCTTCAAGGGGCTGCTAGGCTGGGTATGGAATTGGAGCAAGGCCTGGAGAGCTGGGTTTGGGACAGGGGGCTGTGGGCTTCCTGAGCTGTGCCCCAGAGAGGCACCCCTTCCTCCAAAGTTCAGTTTGGATATCTGGGGTGGGGCTGGAGAGGATGAAGCATTTTTTGTTTGTTTTTTCCTTTGTGTACCGGGGATTGAACCTAGGCTCTTTCAACTGAGCTACATCCTCAGATGTTTTTTATTTTTTATTTTGAGACAGAGACTTGCTCAGTTGTTAAATTGCTCAGGCTGAGCTTAAACTTGCAACCTGCCTGCTTCAGCCCCCCAAACTGCTGGGATGACAGGTATGCAGCACCATGCCAGATCTGAGTTTTCAAATCACAGGGCAAGGCTGGTCGTGGTGGTGCACGCCTGTAATCCCAGCACTCAGGAGGCTGAGGCAGGAGGATCATTGTGAGTTCGAGACCAGCCTGGGCTGCAAAGTGAGCCCAAGGCCAGCCTGAACTACATAGCAAGACCCTGTCTCAAAAATACCAAAAAAAAAAAAATCATAGGGCAGAATGGAGGGGATGTGGCTCAGTGTGGAGCACTTGCCTAGCATGTGCAAGGCCGCAGGTTCGGGGAGAAGCAGGAGATGGGTCAATGGCAGTGTAGTCATGTGGTGACTCATAGCACAAGACTGAAACTGGAGGAGGAAAAGAAGCCTGTGGCCAGGAGGGCAGGTTTGGGGATGGGTCAGCACAGGCAGTAGCTGTCTCAGCTCTGGGACTCATGGGTCCCACGGTGGGATTCGAACCTGTCCTGAGGCAACACCGTGCACATGGGAAGGACAGCAAGAGGTGGGCGGCTGAGCCAAGCTGCTGTGGGTGCTGGGCAGAGCTGGGGGAGACACCCCCTCCCACTGCTGCCCTCCCCTGCAGAGGCCCCGGGATCAGCAGGAAGGGGACAGGGGCAGGGGGGAGGCTCCCTCTGCAGGGGGTTTAGCCACTGTCAGAGCTGAGATCTGAATGTGGAGCTCTGTGCGCTGCGTCCAAGTGTGTGTGCAAGTCCATGTCCCCGCGGGTCACCATACACAGCTCTCTGCACCCCTGTTTGTTTCCCCAGTACTGTGGATTTTTTTTTTTTTAAACTGGGAATTGAACTCACGACCCTGCGAATTCGAGGCAGGCGCCTATGCCACTGAGCTATATTCCCAGCCCCAGTACTGTGGGCTGAACGAACGAACGTCTTTCCTTTATCTACATCCCCAGCTCTTCCGCTTCTTCTCCCTCCCCCACCTCCTCTTTCTCCTTCTTGTGAGACAGGGTCTTGCTGTGCAGTTCAGGCTGGCCTTGAACTCACTATGTAGCCCTGTCCGGGCTTGAACTTGCAGTGATCCTCCTGCCTCAGCCTCCCAAGTGCTGGGGTGAAGGCGTGCGCCCTCCAAGGCGGTTGTGCACTCCTACTTGCACCTGGGTGGGTGTTCCCGAGAGAAGGTCAGGGCTCTGCCGCCCCAGCTGCATGCCCGCCTCCCCCTGTGGCCACTGAGGGCGTGCGTGCCAAGGAGGACGCGCGTCCTGTCTGCTCCCCCACCACGCGGGCGCGCAGCTTGTAATAGCGGAAGCCAGGGTTGGGGCGCGGGGCGGGGCGGGGCGTTGGAGACCAACGTTCGCGCCCACACTGCAGAGCGACAAGCTGAGGCCGGGAGGTTGGGGGGCGGGTCCTCGGCACCGCCTCCAGAGCTCTTTCCTGTGCTGGGACGCCGCGAATGAGGGCCCGGCCTGTCACGTGGGCGTGACAGCTGCGGAGGGGTGGTCCGCGGCAATGTGGACGGGAGGCGGCCCGCGCCTGGAGCGTCGGTGCTGAGGACCCCAGCCCCGCCTGCCAGACCCCGGCCCCCGCCCCGGCTGCCCGGCCGGCCACACCATGTTCTCTAGGAAGAAACGCGAGCTCATGAAAACCCCTTCCATCTCCAAAAAGAACCGCGCGGGAAGCCCCAGCCCGCAGCCGTCGGGGGTGAGTGGGGCGTAGAGCGCAGCGCGCAGAGCGGGCGGGAGCTGGGGCCACGACGAGGAGCGCGAGGGGACAGCACCCTGCTACCATGCTGGGTCGGCGACGGGGGTCCCACGCCAGCTACAGCCCCCAGCGGGCGGGACAGCAGGGGCCGCCGAGGGGAGCCTGGCACCTGGGAGTCTGGCTAACGGTACGCGGCGGTATCGTGTGGCGCCCGATCTGATCCCATTGGAAACCCAGAGAGGGGGTAGGGAAAGGAGGGGTCGGGTGGGGTTATGGGGGGCTGCACGGTGGACGGCGAGGGCTCAGGCAGTTTGGGGGTTCCAGGAGCCGTTGGGAGTTCGGAGGCCTGGCATTGGGTTAAAGGCTTACAAGGGATCATTCAATGGAACCATCGGCTACAAGGGTCTGAGTGTTTCCAGGGCCGCGGTGTGTCTACGAATCTTAGGGGTGTCTGCGAAGTTTGGGGTGCCTGTTGTTTGGGATGCATGTAAAAAGGCCCTTTTGGGGTGCCTGTTAAGTTTGGGATGCATGTAAAAAGGTGTGGCTACAGGATTTAGGGGTCCCCCGGACGCCAAAGGTACAGGGATCCTCAGAGTTGCCTTTCCCGGGAAGTGAGCCCATCTGGGGGACTAGGGTGGTGGCTGCGCGGGGCCAGAACCTCTGTGGCTGCCCCAGCCCCACCAGGAAGCCGGCGCCCCTCCCCCACGCCCTCCGCAGGCCCTCCGCAGGCCCCGCCCCGCTGCGGTTTGGGCTGGGACCGTTGTTTGTGAAAGCACCGGGGAAGAGGATGTTGGGTAACAGGTGGGGGGGCGCAGCCCCAAATCTCAGCCCCCTGACGGCGGGCCTTTGATCCTGTGGAGGGGGCTGAACACCGTCTGGGGCCCCCCACGTCTTTCTGAGGAAACTGAGGCAAATGTGCAGGGTTCCAAATCCCCTTCACTGGCTCCCTCCCCCTTCCAGGAGCTTCCCAGGAAAGATGGGGCTGACACTGTGTTCCCTGCACCTGGCCTGGAGCCCTCAGTCGCGTCCTCTGGTGTCAAGGCCACAGCCACCCTGAAGCGGCCCACCAGCCTCAGCCGCCACGCCAGCGCCGCCGGCTTCCCACTCTCTGGCTCTGGCTCCTGGACACTAGGCCGGGGCTACCGAAGCCCCCTGCCAGCTGCCAGCCCTGTAGAGCCGCCCACTGAGGGGCCTGGCGCTGAGGCCTCGGATGACATCTCAAACCTGCTGGCTGATGTGGCCCGTGTTGCAGAGGGTCTGGAAAAACTCAAGGAGTGTGTATTGCATGATGGTGAGCTGCCTGGGTGGGTGGAAGGCAGGGCCAGACACACAAAGTACTAAGAACAGGACTTGGATTGCAGAGAGAGCTGTGTGAACCAGGGAATTATGGCTAAGGTTCTGAGGGATGTATAGGAGTTTGGTGGCAAGTGGAGGCAAGGGTATTCGAACAGAGGGAATGTCCCATGCACAGACTGAAAAGTATGGAAATGCAAAATGCATTCAAAGGCGTGTGTTGTGTGAGGCTGAAGGGATGAGAAGGTGAAGCTGAAGAACCCTGGATCTTATCCCATGGGCAGTAGGGAGCCATGCAAGGTGTTAGAGAATGGTGGAGTCCTTCTGCATTTGGAACCATGTGGACTAGAGGTGGCCTGAGGTCTGTTGTGGAGAACCCCAGGAGTGCACTTACCAGGCAGGAGTGCTGGGAGTGAGTGGCCTGTGAGATAGATAGTTCCGTTTTCTCTTCCACGAGGCTACAACAGCCCGGCTTCCTGCCGAGTTATTTTCATCTGCTTCCTGTTTGTCCCTGGCAGCCAGGCGGGCACCTCAAGCTGGGGCGGGCACAGCATCTCTGTGGCATCTTCAGCCCTACCAGGTGATCCCGGAAACAACAGTGCCAAGCACCTGATAGCTGCCCTCAGCTGCCCATTCCACAGATGAGGAAACTGAGGCCCAGTAGGCCCAATCGCAGCTGCAGGGTGCTGGTAGGGGTTCTGTGGCCCTGGTGGGAGGGTGCGAGATCCCTGGTTATCTGGTCCCAGGGCGGAGGCCTGTTTCCTGGGGAAATGCTAATCGCCATTCCTTTCCGATCCTGGGTTTCCTTGGAGGCCTGGCCTGGGTGGGGTGAGCAGGGGCGTCCTACAGTCTGAAGGAGTCTGGGGGTCTCTGCGTCTCAGGAAGGGGCACAGGATGTGAGTTAGAGTCCCAGGCTGCCCCTGTGCCACTGTGCTGTCTGGGCTTTCGAGATGGTGTGGGACTCAGGGTGTAGTGGCGCATGCCTGTCATCCTAGCACTCTGGGAGGCTGAGGCAGGAGGACTGCAAATTCCAGCCCTGCCGGAGAATCTTAAGCAACTTAACAAGACCCTGTCTCAAAACACAGGGGTGGCATATAGCTCAGTGGAAGGACACCTCTGGGTTCAATCTCCAGTACCACAGGAGAAAAAGAGAGAAGAGTAACACTGGCGTGGTGGTGCACACTTGTAGTCCCAGCACTCAGGAGGCTGAGGCAGGAGAATCGTCATGAGTTCCAAGCTGGCCTGTATTACATGCCCAGACCCCATCTCAAAAAACCAAACAAAATAAAATAATAGAAATGGGGAGGTGTGTTGGTGTGCAGGTCACCAGGTGGCCAAAGGTCACTGAGGTTGTTGTGGATCTCACACCATAGGTGGGTGCAGTGTACAAGGCCTTAGCCGAGCCTTCCCACACTCTGGGCTTCAGCCCTGAGCCTCAGTTTCCCCATCCACCTTCCATTCACCTGACCTGGAATAGCGCAGCTTTGGTCACGATTCTTTCCAACCAAGAGCACGGAGGAGGCCAAGGGGCTGCAGGGGAGGGCTTTGGCTCGGGGACGGGGTCTGCGGACCGGCCGGAGCCGGTATGTCCTCGGTGGACTTCGGGCCCCCCGTCGCCAGGCCGTGCTTGGCCGCACACGCCATGTGCATCGGCGGCACCGCGGACCCCGCGCTGGACGAGGCCCCCGGGCGCTGCCAGGCGCGGGCCGCGGATGAGGATCGTGCCGCGCGGGTCCCAGCCCGGCCCGGCCGGGTGCGGCGCGCGTGGCTCTGGGGGCTAAGCCCGGCAGGTGCGCGCGCAGCCAGCTTGCAGGTGGGGCGCGGGCCCCTGGTGGCCTTGGCGGCCTGCGGGAACGGGTGGGGAAGGAGTGGCCTAGGGAGGGCCGGGGCCTCCCGGATTCCTGAGCTCCCTCCCCGACCTGAGTGGGCAGCAAATAGCACTGCTGCCTCCGAGGTCCAAGTGGCCCAACTGTCACCCCAGCGGGAGTTCAGCGGGGGTGTGGCTCACTCCTGGGTCTCCCTCCCTCTCTTTGGTCATCCTGGCCCCTTCCACCAATTCCTGTGATTTGGCTTCTGCTGGATACCCCATTTTCATTTTGTGGCGGGTTTTTTGTTTTTTTTTTTGGTATTGGGAATCGAACTCAGGACCCTGCACTTGCCAGGCAGGCACTGTGCTATATCCCCGGCCCTGTTTTGTGTTTTTTTTTTTGAGACAGGGTCTGGCTATGTAGCCCAGGCTGGCCTCAAATTGGCGGTGCTCTTCCAGCCTCAGCCTCCCGAGTTCTGGGATGACAGGCATGCGCCTCCACGCCCGGCTAGATAGCTCATTTGTTTAAATAATCTTCCAATTTAGAGAACTTCTTTGCTCCATACCTGCTGTGGCTCCCAGGAGCTGGAGCACGGAGGTCCCACACCTCCAGCCAGCAGAGATGGGAGAGCTGTGTGCTGTTAATGGTCTCTCTTCCTGGGCAACGTGAGCATGTGGATAGTGCCTGGCTTCTAACCTTGCTGCCCACGTGGGGCAGAGCAGGGCTGCTCAGGGCCCAGGCAGGCAGGACCGGAAGAAGGCAGGTGAGGCCTAGAGCTATCCTGGAGGGGCCAGGGAAAGGGCCTGGTGGACTGCCCAGGAGAGGCAGCCCAATCAGGATTTGTTCCCTGTGTGGCTGAAAAGTATTTGGAGAAGTGACTGTCTAAACTGAGGTACAGCCTTTGTGGACCTCCCCAGGAGCCCCGAGAGAGACAGTAGCCACCGTCCCCATGGTCTTTTTCTTTTTTGTTTTTCAGACAGTTTCTTTATGCAGTTCAGGCTGGCCTTAAACTCACTTTATAGTCCAGGCTGGCCTGGAACTTGCAGCAGTCCTCCTGTCTCAGCCTCCTGAGTGCTGGAATTACAGGCATGCGCCACCACATCCGACCCCTTCACTTTCACAGCTGCCCTCTCCCACCTCTGCCTGTTTCCTCATTTGGGACAGCAGCTTCCAGGAGGCAGGAAGATGTTTTCTGGGATGGGACACTTCTTTCCCTGCTCACACCCATTCTGCCCAGCAGACCTCCTGGAGGCCCGCCGGCCACTGGCCCACGAATGCCTGGGTGAGACCCTGCGTGTGCTGCACCAGGTCATCTCCAAGTACCCATTGCTGAACACCGTGGAGACACTGACTGCTGCAGGAACACTTATCGCCAAGGTTAAAGGTTAGCAAAGGCAGCTAGGCCTGGAAGGGCTTCCTGGGAGAGGGGATAGCTGAACTGGGTTTTGAAGGATGGATAGGAGTTCAATAGGCACAATTAATACCTGATTCTCCCCCTATGGGATAAACCTTCAGGCCAGTTAGTTACAAAGATAGTGTAGGGGCCAGGGATATAGCTCAGTGGCGCAGTGCCTACTTGGCAAGCACAAGCGCCTGAGTTTGATTCCAAGATAGTGTGGGCCAACCATGTGTCCTCTCTGCCTCCCAGCCTTCCATTATGAATGTAACAATGAGTTGGACAAGAGGGAGTTTGAGAAAGCCCTGGAGACCATCGCGGTGTCCTTCAGCGGCGCGTGAGCAGGGGCATCTGTGAGCCAGGGGCGGGCAGTGGGGGTGCCACCGGTCCCCAGACACTGACCCTCTGGTCCTGCAGTGTGTCCGAGTTCCTCATGGGTGAGGTGGACAGCAGCACACTCCTGGCCGTGCCACCCGGGGACCCCAGCCAGGTGAGCAGAGACAGAAGGGCAACCCTGCACCTGGGAACCTCAGGGTGTGTCGGGGTGGGGAAGTCACACCAGTGTCCCCGTGCGAACAGTCCATGGAGAACCTGTACCAGAGCAGCGAGGGCTCCCCAGCCGGCGCAGAGTACTTTGAGGGTGAGTGTCCGTAGGCCGCAGGGCAGGGTGGGGAGGGCGCCCCTCCAACGGCTCCCAAGCTGAGCAGGCACCCCGCAGGCTGCCTGCCCCCGGAGGAGGTGGACATGCTGCTGCAGCGCTGCGAAGGCGGCGTGGACGTGGCTCTGCAGTATGCCAAGAACATGGCCAAGTACATGAAGGACCTTATCGGCTACCTGGAGAAGCGGACTGCGCTGGGTGAGCGCATGCGCAGCAGGTCTGGCAGGAGGGGCGGGAGGGAATATTCGCCAGATGCCTGACCACGCCCCCTCACACCCCCAGAGATGGAGTTCGCCAAAGGTCAGCAGAAACTCATCCACAGTTCCAGACAGAGCTTCGTGCATGAGGTGGGCTACAAGTGGGCATGGGGCAGGGGCTTCCCCTCTAATACCCAGGTGCTGTAATCCCAGCACTCTGGGAGGCTGAGGCAGGAGGATTGAAAGTTTCAGAGTCCTGCCTGGACAACTAAGTGACTTAGCAAGATCCTGTTTCAAAATAAATAAAAAGGACTGGAAATACAGCTCAGGGCTCTTGGACTCCATCCCTAGCACCACAAAAAAAAAAAAAAAAAAGAAAGAAAAGTCAAAATTCAAGCCAGGAATATAGCTCAGCGGCACAGTGCCTGCCTGGAAAGCACAAGGTCGTGAGTTCAGCTCCCCGTACAAAATAATAATAATAATAATAATAATAATAATAATAATAATAAATAAAACAAAGGGCAAAATTCATTCTGGGTGTGATGATATAGCCTATAATCACAGCACTCTGGGAGGCTGAGGCAGGAGGATACTCGTTTGAGGCCAGCCCGGGCAATTTAGTGACTTAGCAAGACTCTGTCCTAAAATAAAAGGCTGGGATGTAGCTCAGTGCAAAAGCCCTGGGTTCAGTACCCAGTACCATTTCTTAAAATGTTGCGGAAATATTTTCTTCTAATATTGCAGAAATTGAGGGAGGGAGTTGGTAGGGAGGTGGCGGCTCGGAATGCTGGGGCCACCGCCGTCCCAATGTTTCCCTGACCAGTGACCGCCTCCTGCAGCCCCACATGCCCCTGCTGTCCATCTACTTGCTGGCCCTGGAGCAGGACTTGGAGTTGAGCCACGGCATGGTGCAGGCGGTGGGAACACTGCAGACGCAGACCTTCATGCAGGTGAGCTGCAGGACGTGGAAGGAGGCCGGTGGGTGCATCCCCAGGGTCTCCACTCACGTACCATCTTACCCCAGCCCCTCACCCTGCGGCGGCTGGAGCACGAGAGGCGCAGGAAGGAGATCAAGGAGTCCTGGCACCGCGCACAGCGGAAGCTGGTAAGAGCCGGGAGAGGAGCAGGGGTGGCTGCGCAGGCGCAGTGTTTTGCACAGATTTCGCGTACGTGGGATGCGCCTGCGCCCTCGCTGGCTCCTGCACCGGCCTCAGACTTGTCCTAGTTCAAATCTTCTCCAGTCCAGAGGCCCCAGGGCGCACTTCCTGGTCGGAGGTTTAGAAATGGGGTTTCCCTGGGATTACCCTGAGAGAGTTCACAGGATGGAGGGAAACCGAGGCGCACTCACTTAGTGCGGGCTCCTGGGTAGCCTTCTTTTCTTTATTCTCTTTGTAGTGCTTTAAAGGCACTACAGAAGATGTGTGTAGTGGCAGCGGCCTATGATCCCAGCACTCGGGAGGCTGATACAGGAGGATCACAGACAGTTCCAGGCCTCGCTAGGCTACATAGTGAGCTGAATGGCAGCTGGAACTACATAGCAAGACTCTGTCTCTCAAAAAAATAAAAACTAAAATGTTTTGTACTAAGTTGCCCAGCCTGTACTCGAACTTGTGTTCCTCCTGCTTCAGCCTCCCAGGAGGGTGCTGGGATGCCAGGGTGTGTGCCAGGAAGCACAGCTTTTTTTTTTTTTTTTAAATAGCCTTTTGTGTCACTCATCCAAGAAGGCCTTCCCCTCATTAAGGTTCTTTTTAACGATTACCTTACTAATTCTATTAGTTCTTTTTGGGGGGATATTGAATCCAGGGTAAGTACAAGCCACACCCTAGCACACCCCACTCTTTTCTGAATGTTGACGCTTCTGCGGTCTAGAGGGCTGTGAGGTCCTCCCCGCCCGCCCCCCAGTTTCTGGCCAAGCGTTTCCTGAGGAGCCCTAGGGCTGCTGACTTCCTCCTCCTGCCTGGGGCGGCCCCTGTTTCATCTCATGAAAGGGAAGTGAAATCAGCTGAGATGAGAGATGCCAGCCTGCGCCTTCCGGGGCGAGCTGATAGTGGTGCTTCTGTTCCGAGCTCTGCCTCAGCCTCCCCGGCTGAGAAACGGGTGTCCATTCTGCTTGCCAGAGTGGGCGGTGGGTTTCCAGGGAACAGGCGCTGGGTGGGCGAGGCTGCAGCCGGTCTCCTCCCTCCCGCGCCTGCAGCAAGAAGCCGAGGCCAACCTGCGCAAGGCCAAGCAGGGCTATGTGCAGCGCTGTGAGGACCACGACAAGGCCCGCCTCCAGGTGGCCAAAGCCGAGGAAGAGCAGGCAGCCACCTCGCCCGGGGCGGGCAGCACGGCTTCCAAGACACTGGACAAGCGGCGGCGGCTGGAGGAAGAAGCCAAGAACAAGGTCAGGGCGTGGGGATGAGACCCAGGGGTGCTGTTTCCCACCTCCAGGCTTTGTTTAGACCTCGACTCTTTCCAAGAATACTCTTCCCAGTATGTGTGGTGGTGCACACCTGTCATTCCAGTATTCTAGGTGGCTGAGGCAGGAGGATCTCAAGTTCTAGTCCAGCCTGGACAATGTAGCAAGACCTTGTCTCAAAAAATAAAAAAAAAAGCCAGGTACGGTGGCTCACACCAGTAATCCCAGTACTTGGGAGGCTGAGGCAGGAAAATCATTCTGAGTTTGAGGCCAGCCTGGACTACAAAGTGAGCTCAAGGCCAGTCTGCACTGCATAGGGAGACCCTGTCTCAAAAAGACAAAATAAATAAATACATTAATTAATTAATTTTTAAAAAGACTCAGGATGTAGCTCGTGTAAAGGCCCAAGATTCTATCCTTAGGACCACAAAATAAATACATAATAAAAGTTGCCCTTCCCACCCTCTCCTGCCTGGCTCCTTCCAAGAATATTTATTTATTTATTTATTTATTTATTTATTTGATGGCCTCATTATGTAGTTCAGGATGACCTTGAATTTACAATGTAATCCAGGCTGGCCTCAAACTCCAGGCGATCCTCCTGCCTCAGCCTCCTCCTGAGTGCTGGGATGACAGGAGTGCACCACCACACCCGGCTCTCTGGAGATTTCCCTATCAGACCTGGCCATACCCTGGCTGAGCTCTGAGCCCTCGGCTGAGCCTCTGTGCCCATCCCACCCACCCCAGGCGGAGGAAGCCATGGCCACCTACCGCACATGCGTGGCAGACGCCAAGACACAGAAGCAGGAGCTGGAAGACATGAAGGTGACCGCGCTGCGGCAGATCCAAGAGGTCATCCGCCAGAGCGACCAGACCATCAAGTCGGTGGGTGGCCGTGCGGCATGCCTGTGGCGCGGGGTGGGGCAGCGGTGGTCCAGCGCCTGACCTGTCGCCCCGCTGTTGCCCTAGGCCACCATCTCCTACTATCAGATGATGCACATGCAGACGGCGCCGCTGCCCGTGCACTTCCAGATGCTGTGCGAGAGCAGCAAGCTCTACGACCCCGGCCAGCAGTACGCGTCGCACGTGCGCCAGCTGCAGCGCGGCGAGGAGCCCGACGTGCGCTATGACTTTGAGCCCCACGTGTCCGCCAACTCCTGGTACTGCTGCGAAGCCCTGCCCTGAGCCCTGCTGCCCACCCACTGCAGGCCGGCCCCCTTCGTGACCTTGTGCTCTGCCTGGGTCCCCGCCAGGTCCCCAGTCATACGTGCCCGCAAGAGCAGCTTCAACGTCAGTGACACCCTGGGGACAGAGGCCACCAGCAGCAGCCCCTCAGACGAAGGAGGGCCCAGTGAGGGCACATCTGCCAAAGACCACAGGGGTGAGCACTGGCAGGGGATCGGGGCAGGCGCTGGCTCCCGGCAGCCCCCCGGCTCTGCACAGGATCCACCCCTTTGCGCTTCCCCAGGGGGACGGGGACACCAGGTGCACAAGTCATGGCCGATCTCCGCCGCAGACTCGGATGGCAGCCTGGACCCCAGCGTGGGCTCAGGTGAGGTGGCTGCCCGTCCCTCCTCCTGTCCAGGAGGAGGTGACAGTGCCCTGCCTGCCTCAGGCCTGGTTCACCCTGGGACTCTGACAGCACTGTTTCTTGGCCAGGGGACTTTAACAAATTCCAACGGATGTCGTCCAGCGGCACCGTGTCGTCCAGCGAGGAGCTGGTGGACCAAGAAGGCGGAGCAGGGACAGCGGAGTTTGAACAGGGTGAGGGGGCCTGAGCCGGGCCCAGACGGACAGGGGGCTTTGGACATGGCCTCTATCTGGGTCTGTCCCCTTCCTGCCTCGGTGACACGGACTTCTCGTCCTGCCCCCAGATGACATCAACCGCATGGCCCCCCAGCTGCCAGTGGCTGGGTTCAGTGGGCCCTTCCGCCATGTCGGGCTGTCCAAGGCGGCGCGCACGCACCGGCTCCGGAAGCTCCGCACGCCAGCCAAGTGCCGGGAGTGTAACACCTACGTCTACTTCCAGGGGGCCGAGTGTGAGGAGGTGCGTGGGGCACAGGCCTGTCATCCCAGCACTCTGGGAGGCTGAGCCAGGAGGAGAACAAGTGTGAACTCAGCACGGGAAACTATAAAATGCTGTTCTCTCAAAAAAATTTTAAAAGGGGTGGGAACATAGCTCAGTGTGAAAGTCCTAGGTTAAATCCCCGGTATAGGGGTAATGGGGAGCAGCAAAGAGAGGGAGTGTGGAGGTTTTTTTACAGTTTGGACTTCTAGGAGGAGAGGCTAGGGGTGAACAGGGTGTCTGAGGTGGAGGCAGGGACACCCAGTGCAAGTGCCCTGGGGCAGAAAGAACAAGGGGTACTGGGTGTGGTGGTGCACACCTGGAATCCTAGTACTCTGGAGGCTGAGGCAGGAGGATTGGTGCAAGGCCAGTTTGGGCTACATAATGAGACCCTGTCTCCAAAAAAAAAAAAAAGAAAGAAAAAAAGAAGAAAAAAGAAAGGGGCTGGAAGGAGGAGAGAGCAGTGAGCAGGGTCCGGGATGCAACAAAGGCCCTTGTTTTTAGCAGGTACCAGGGGGGTTCTGAGGGCTCTAAAAGAGATGGAAGGTGGGTCGGAGCATCTGTGTGGGGCTGGGCACCCACGGGGCCAGCGCTCACTCCCTGCCATCCGCAGTGCTGTCTGGCGTGCCACAAGAAATGCCTGGAGACCCTGGCCATCCAGTGTGGCCACAAGAAACTGCAGGGCCGCCTTCAGCTCTTTGGACAAGACTTTGGGCAGGCGGCCCTGGGCACCCCAGATGGCATCCCGTTCATCGTGAAGAAATGCCTATGCGAGATCGAAGGGCGTGCGCTGCGCACCAAGGTTCCTCGGGTGGAGCAGGGCAAGGCGGGGTGGGCAGGGGATGGGGGTAGGGAGGGCCGGGGGCGGGGCTCACTGCCTCCCCGCAGGGCATCTACCGGGTCAACGGGGTAAAGACGCGTGTGGAGAAGCTGTGCCAGGCTTTTGAGACGGGCAAGGAGCTGGTGGAGCTGTCACAGGCCTCACCCCACGACATTAGCAATGTCCTCAAGCTCTACCTGCGCCAGGTGAGTCGAACTCGGGTGTGGTTATTGGCCTGGGGGCAGGGCCAGAGCTGGGTTTAGTCAGACCGTTGTGTGATTGGGCGTAGCCAGAGTTGGGAGGGGCGTGGTCTTGGCATGAGCAAATCGGATGCTGAGCTAGGGGTGTGGTCAGATGCTGCAGGGGGTGCGGCCTAGTGTCATTGGGCGTGGCTATAGCTTTGTTAGGGCTTGGGGACCGCAGAGGCAGGTCTGAAGATGGGGGCGTGGTCATATTCTGGAGTGGGGGGAGCCTATTGTCTGGGGCGTGGCCAGAGCGTAGCTGGAGCAGGGCCTTGGCCAAGTGTGCGGTCCTCCTAGCCCAGTGTCACTGCGGGATCCTGTTCCATTGCCCTGCAGCTGCCAGAGCCACTCATCTCCTTCCGCTTCTATCACGAGCTGGTGGGGCTGGCCAAGGACAGCCTGAAGGCCGAGGCTGAGGCCAAGGCGGCGTCCCGGGGAGGCCGGCAGGATGGGTCCCAGAGCGAGGCCTCTTCCCTAGCCATGGCGGGCCGCCTGCGGGAGCTGCTGCAGGACCTGCCACAGGAGAACCGGGCCACGCTGCAGTACCTGCTGCAGCACCTGCGCAGGTCAGGGTCACTGGGCAGGAGTCCGGGTGGTGGGGGTCTCGCGGGCTACTCACACACTCTGGCTCTGCCCGGCCCCGCCCACAGGATCGTGGAAGTAGAACAAGATAACAAGATGACCCCGGGGAACCTAGGCATCGTGTTTGGGCCCACACTGCTGCGGCCGCGGCCCACAGAGGCCACCGTCTCCCTGTCCTCACTGGTGGACTACCCCCACCAGGCCCGAGTCATCGAGACCCTCATCATCCACTATGGCCTGATCTTCGAGGACGAGCCAGGGGAGGGACTCAGGGCACAGGTCAGTCTGAGTCAGGGCTGTGCATGGAGGATGGAGATAGCGCCCTGTGAGAGCTTTGCTTTGGACAGGATGGCTGGGGAGATTACTGGGAGGTTTCTTTTTAGCAGAGAACTGGATGAAATAGCCCTAGGGTGTGCAAAGGCCCTGTGGGCCCTGCACTGTCCTTTGGAACTCACATCAGACTGTGCACAATCTGTGCAGGTCTGCAGTTGGGTCCTTTATTTTTGTTTTTTGAGACGGGTCCTCGCTATGTAGTCCAAGCTGGCCTCAAACTTGTAGCGATCCTCCTGCCTCAGCCTCCCAAGTCCTAGGATTACAGGTGTGCACCACCACGTCTGGCAGTTGGATCCATTTACCTGGCTACTTGGCTTGGACTTCATGCCTCTGATGTTTGTATCTAGAAGTTGTTTTCAGAGCTGGGCATGGTTGTGTATGCCTGTAATGCCGGCACTTTGGGGGGCTGAGACAGGAAGATCACCATGCATTCTAGGCCACCCTGGGCTACATAGTGAATTCAAGGTCAGCCTGAACTACATGGAGAGACCCTGTCTCAAAACAAAACAAAAAAGAAGTTAAATTCAGTCCATTTCTTAAAGGTATCTTGCTCATTTTCATATTTTCAAGTCCTCCTTGTATTTTTTTATTTTTTATTTTTGCTGTACCAGGGATCAAACTCATGACCTTGTGCTTGCCAGGCAGGCGCTTATGCCACTGAGCTATATCCCCAGCCCCTCCTCCTTGTATTTTTTCAGCCCTCTTCCAGCATTTCTTGGTGGTCCTAGGTTTCTTCCCACCCCTGCCAGCATAAATAGGATCCTGAGAGCCAGGGAGCCGAGGAAAGGTACAGCCTCAGGACAGAGGCTCCTGTGTGCGCATTGGTGCTGGGCTTGGCCTACCTGACCAAGGTGTTCATCCCTGATGGAGGAACAGTTGGGAAAAGTCTGGAATGGGTTAGGGAACCATAAGAGTGGGCTTTCAGCTGGGCTTTGTGGTGTACCCCTGTCACCCCAGCACTTTGGGAGGTTGAGGCAGGAGGATCACAAGTTTGGAGCTAGCCTAGACCCTGACCTTGTCTCTACTTTTGTGTGTGTGTGTGTATGTGTGTGTGTCTACTTTTGAAAAAAAAAATTTTTTTTTAAATATTTAAAGTTCTAGCCAGGTATGGTGGCACATACCTGTAATCCCAACACTTGGGAGGCTGAGTCAGGAGGATAGTCATGAGTTTGAGGTCACCCTGGGCTACAAAGCAAGACCCTGTCTCAAAAAAAAAAAAAAAAAATTTAAAGTGCTGCGGATGTGCAGGAGCTCAGTGGCAGAGTGCCTATTCCTAAGTGTCATTGCTGTCTCACACACACACACACACACACACACACATAGTGAATTCTCACGGGCCAGGGCTGTTTGCCACAACCTCAGTAGCAGCCAGAGTTAATCCTTTAGGGATTTTGTTATAATTTTGTTGTTGTTGTTGTTATGTTATAATTTCTTAACACCCCCGCCAACCCCTTTCCTTAGGATGAGCCAAGCAGCCAGCGCTCAGAGGTGGTGGTGCCAGTTCCATGTCTGGAGGGCAGGGAGGGAACCACCTACGTCCTGCAGGAGGAGGATGGGGGCCGAGGTGAGTAGTGGGCAAGATGGGGCCCTGGGACGCTGTGCAGAAGGTGGAACGTGGCGTCTAAGAGACAGAGCAGGAGCCAAGCATGGTAGCACACACCTGCCATCCCAGCAACCTGGGAGGCTGAAGCAGGAGGATCCCAAGTTTGAGCTCAACCTAGACAACTCAGCAACTTAGTGAGACCCTGCCTCAAAATAAAAAATACTGTAAAGGTCAGGGGATGTAGCTCAGTGTGAACATCTTGGGTTCAGTCCCCAGTACCACAGAGAGAGAGAGAGAGAGAGACAGACCTGAAGCAGGGGCTCGGGTGGGGCCCAGGAATTTGACCCAGGTGGGAACAGCCTCAGTTTTTGGTAGCCAGGGGACACCTGTCTCATTCTCTGTCTGGTTTTCCCAGAATCCCGAGTAGCATCCAATGATTCTGACTCGGAGCTGGAGGAGACCTCGGACCCTCTGTCCCTGTCAGAGGCCAGCGTCCTGCACCGCCTCAGCTTCCTGGAGAAGCAGGAGGGGGAGGCCAGCCCAGAGGAGGGTCCCCAAAGCCGCAGTGGCAGTGAGGAGCAGCTGGGGGATGAGGAGGAAGAAGGCCCAGCCCAGCAGCTGTCCACATACAACACCAACCAGTCCAACAACACGGCGTCGGCCCGGCTGCCGCCCACGAGACTCCGCAGCGGGCACATCGCAGGGGGCGGCTGTGGGGACAGGCGGCTGGAATTCGTCTGAGCTGGGTGGCAGCATCGCACTGTTGCTCCCCTGATGCTCTGGAGGGTCCGGGGCCTGTCCTGGGCCACCGCCTCTCTGAGGACAGCAGGGCTTAGGGTCCACCCTGTGTCTGCCACTTGGGCTGGCCTGGCTCAGCCCGGCTGGGGGGATCCCTGCCTTCGGGGAAGTCACCTGCTGCCTTGTCAGAGGCCCCACAGCCGTGAGGACTGACCGGCCCTGTCCCTGATGAGCGCCTCTCCCATGGCCCGGGCATCCCTGGGGTGCAGGCCCTACCTGGACCTCGCCCTGCCCCATCTGAGCCTGTGTGGGTCCTGCGGGGAGGCTGCTGCTGGCCCAGGCCCCCCCACCAGAGCTCTGGCTCCAGGAAGCTGTCACCTTTCTGTAAGGCTGGACTTGGACAGCTGGGTAAAGGTACACAATGGAGTCTGTCACAGGCCACAATGTCCTTGCAAACCCAAACTTCTGTCTGTTTTGCTTAAAATAAACCTTTTAATCTAGTGGGGTTGGTTTGTTTATTTTTGTGGCACTGGGGATTGAACCCAGGGCCTTTGCACTGAGCAACATCCCCAGCTCTTTTAATTTTTATTTTAATTTTTTTTTTTTTTTTTACACAGGGTATTGGTACAGAGTTCAGGCTGGCCTTGCAGTCACTACATAGCCCAGGCTGGCCTGAAACTCATGGCAATCCTCCTGCCTCAGCCTCCCCTGTGCTAGGATTATAGGTGTGCACCACCATACCTCTTGTTTAATTTTTATTTTGGGACCGGGTCTCCCTAAACTCACTAAGATGCCCAGGCGGGGCTTACATTTGCAACCCTTCTGACTCAGCCTCCCAAGGTACTTGGATCAGCGTACCCTTGTGCCCAGCTAATCTGGTGTTTCCTGTGAGGATGGAAGCCTCCGAAAGGAGCTAGGGCGGGGGGCACAGGTTGCAGGGACAAAGGTCCTCCCACACTGTCCACGGCTTTCTTGCTGGGGAGGGTGGTGGACACAGGCAACCCTTTTGTGAGGTTTACAGCTGAGGGCCATGCTGGGCCTGGCCACGTGACAGACACTTTCTCCAGCTGCCAGGCCCCCGTGCCAGGGCTGTGGAACTCCTGTGGGCTGGGAGTGTGCCGGGTGGGCTTGCAGAAGCACAAACTGCAACTGCAAGTTACTGTATCGATCTTGTACGGGGCGCTGGCGATGGAACTGAGCCTTGTGCACACTGAGCTCAGGCCACAACCTGCCTGGCCCGTGAGCCTCGGGAGGACAGCAGCCAGCTGCTTTTAAAAATTGTATTAAATGCTCAGGATGGAACCCAGGGCTTACTCACCGCCGAGCCACATCTCAGCCCTTTTTTTATTTTGAGACAGGGCCTGGCTAAGTTGCTCAGGCTGGCCTCGAACTTGTGATTCTCCTGCCTCAGGCTCCCGAATAGCTGGGATGATAGGTGTGTGCCCGCTTTTCATCCACAGTGGGGAAGCAGGTGAAATGGAGGCTGCTCGTGGTAACAGCAGGGTACAGGAAGGGCCCTCCTCTTCCTGTTCAAGAGCCGCACCACAAAGCTGCAGCAAAACCCCAAGCACAGACCAGAAGCCTCAGACAGCGCAGGGCCTCACTGAGAGGCCTCAGAGGAGGATACACAGGTCAGGGTGCTGGCGCTCAGAGCTGGTCTGACAAACAGAGACGTCTTGGCCTAGGGCCAGCCGCAGGTTCGCAGGTTGCCTGTGGTTGTCATTTCTGCCACAAGGCAGAGTTGAGGAAATGACAGGGAATATGCGGTCCACGAACTGAAAAATATTTACTGACACTTTACAAAAACAAAACAAAACTTGTTTGTCAGGTGTGGTGGTGCACTGCTATATTCCCAGCACTCAGGAGGATCACTGCAAGTTTGAATCCAGCCTGGGCTACCTAGTGAGTGGAAGGCCATTCTGAACTCTGAGAAAACCCTATCTCAAAAAACAAAACAAAACAAAACTTACTGACCTTCAACTACTCTTTATACTTGTGGTACACCCACAAAAAATTTTTGTGTTTTTTTGAGACAAGGTCTCACTATGTAGCTAGCCTAGGCAGGACTAGAACGCACAGTGATCCTTCTGCCTCACCTTCCCAAGCGCTGCGATTACAGGCAGGCACCACCATGCCTGGCTTTGATTTTGAGGCAGGGATTCAATAAGTTGCCCAGGCTTGGCTCAAACTTGCCATCCTCCTGCCTCAGCCTCCACACCCAACTACATTTTATTTTTCCAGTGCTGGGAATGCAAAGCCAGAGCCTTCAGTATGCTGAGCACACTGATCTACCTTTTACAAAGGTCAAAAAGACCTGCAAAGCCACTCTGCTACTTCCTAGCATTAGTCAGGGAGGAAATGTCATAGAAAAGCCTTTCCTCACTGGGATAGGCCAGCAGGAAGGGTGGCTGGGAATGCTGCTGCTTTTCCCTTTCTTTTGAAGGGGGGTGTCTTCGTTACTTTATTCTCGTTGCTGGGAGAAAATACCCAACATCCAAAATTAAGGAAGAAAACATTTATTTAGCTCACAGTTTGTGGAGGTTTCAGTCCATACTCAGCTGGCTCCAATGCAGAGTGGCACGGGGTAGAGGGCAACAGTTTGTGGCTGCAGAAGACAGCAAAAGCAACAAGAGCAAAAGGGAGGAGCAGCAGTGGGAGAACAAACCTCTTTTCCTCCCTTACATTGTATGCAGGTTTCCCGCCCCAGGGTGAGTGTAGCACTCACACCCATAATCCCAAAACTGGAGCATGAATTAATCATAAACTCTAGGGGACACAGCTCAGTAGTAGAGAACTTGACTGCGTAAACTGTAGAAGCTCGCACCATGACTGCATGAGGCTTTGGGGGGACATGCAGACACAAAGCGTAACGGGGTGCTCGGGGTGCCCAGAGTATCACACATGCTAGGTCAGCACATGCCACCGAGCACTACAGCGTCACTCTGCACGGTCTTCACAGGACCAGGAAGCAGTGCCAGCTCATATATACCTCACCATCCATGTGACTCAGAGCAGAGAGCCAGCTTCAGGTGAGGCTCCACCCAGCTTGATCCTGGTGCCTAGGAAGTGGGGGTCAGGGGCTTCCTGAGTGCCAGGCCCCCTCTGCTGCCACCCCAGGAACGCTGAAGGTGGTGCCATAGTCCTGCCCACCCTGCTGGGACAACACCACTTCTGGGCCATCTTGGAGACCAGGAACAGGTGGGGTTTGGTGGCAAAGAAGAACGCCACAGGTAGGGAGATGACACACAGTAAATTTCCCCCACTTTGAAGCCCGAGAAGCTAACCACGGGCCTGTGCGGCAAAGCGTGATCATGCCGAGCTTCAGAATCAAAGCAAACATGCAAAAGGCCAAAGGGATCTTCCTGGGCCTTGCCAGAGCTGATTCCAAATCCAAGTACAGAATACTCTAGAAAAACTGAGATTGTGATATTCACCATATTGGGTTTTCCTAAATTTTTTTTTCCAATCAGATTTTTTTTGGGGGTACCGGGAATTGAACTCAGGACCTTGTGCTTGCCAGGCAGGTGCTGTGCCACTGAACTATACTCTCGGCCCTCAATCAGATTATATTGATACATTTTACTTTTCCAATCAGATATTATTGGCATATTTTACATATACATAACGATCACATTCATCATAGAGCATTTGTACCTGCAGATGGTGTAACTGGTTTCTTCTTTTCCCATCCCCCTCCCCTCTCTCCAACCTTCCTCCCCTCCCCATTTACGAAAGCTTTGTTTCCACTTTTTCCTTTTCTCTCTCTTTTTATTTTTTCACTTTTCCCTTCTTTCCTTTCTCCCTTGTTCCCTCCCAGTTTGAACATTTACTTCCTATTTCACAATACCTATTATACATTTTGGTCCTTATTTACACTTTTATTTTCTCCAGTTTACTTCACTTAAGAGTATGGTCTCAAAGTGCATCCATTTTCTTTTTTTGTCTTTTTGAGACAGGGTCTCGCTATGCAGTTCAGGCTGGCCTTGAGCTCACGTTGTAGCCCAGGATGGTCTCGAATTCACAATGATCCCTCTGCCTCAGCCTCCCGAGTGCTGGGATTACAGGTGTGCACCACCACGCCTGGCTGCAAAAGTTTTTTAATGAGATGAGATACCAACTGATTATTCATAATAGTTCCTGTGTGATCAGGATTTTGTTTATAAAGTCTTTGCTTACACCAGTATCTT